AAATCACTTTTAAGAGAGAAAGAGATCCTGGTACTCTGGAAAAAACACTGAAGAAAGAAGACAAAGATTCAGTTCCAGCTCTTCTGCTATCTAATCTCACAACCCTGGCCAAGGCACTTGTCCTCCCAGGCCCCCAGCTCCTATTTGATGAGATAATGTGTCCCTGGAAAAAGTGTAGCCTGTAAGAAAGAGCATGCCTCCAAGTAGTAAAAAGACTTGAGAACAATTGTGTTAATGCATGTTTTTTAGGTATCTGCTGACAGAAGAGTAAGATCAACAGCCCATATCTCAGGAGGAAGTTTCCTTGAGCACTTTCATTTCCATATATTGAGTGCAGATTGAAGAGGGATAATTCAATATGCGTCTGTTCAACAATTATGACACCATTTACCAAGCATTTGCTAACACCTTTAAGAGTTACACAATAGACCTCCCACCTGAGGTCAGGAGCTTCTCACCAGCCTGACCAACATGGAGAAACCCATCTCCACTAAAAATACAAAATTAGCCGGGCATGGTGGCACATGCCTGTAATCCCAGCTACTCAGGGGGCTGAGGCAGGAGAATTGCTTGAACCCAGGAGAAGGACGTTGCAGTGAGCTGAGATTGCATCATTGCACTCCAACCTGGGCAACAAGAGCGAAACTCCATCTCAAAAAAAAAAAAAAAAGCTACACAATAAATAACTTGCTTTAACACATCAATAGCTTCACATTGATACACAGACAATGACTGTGATGGTTAATTTTATGTGTGATTATGATTGAGCCACAGGTGCCCAGGCATTCCACCAAACATAATTCTGCATGTGTCTGTGAGGGTGTTTATGGATGACACTAACATTTGCATAAAGGAGAGTGCCCTCCCTAATGTTGGCAGGCCTCATCCAGTCAATCGAAGGCCTGAATAGGAAAAAGTCTCAGTAGGAGGAAACAGCTCCCACCAGACTGCTTGATGACAGACTGCTACTTGTCATCTTTTCTAGCCTTCCCTGTAGGACTCAGTCACCTGTTCTCCTTGGGTCTCCACCCTGCTTGCTTTCAGATGGGAAATAAACCATCAGCTCTTCTGGTTCTCCAGCCTTTGGACTTGAACTGAAATGACATATTGGCTCCCCTGGGTCTCCAGCTTGTGAACTGCAGATTTGGGGACTTCTCAGCCTCCATAATTATTTGGGGACTTCTCAGCCTCCATAATTACTCAAGTAATTATGGAGTAATTATATATATTATATAATTGTATATTATATTACACAATGTAATTTTATTGTATAATAAAATTATACAATATATTATATATTATTATATTATATCATATTATATTTACAAACACAGACTATTGGTTCTGTTTCTCTAAAGAACCTTGACTAATACAAGAACCAATCTCTAAATTCCTTAGCATGGCCAAAACACCCTATACGACCCGGTCCCCAACTACCCCTCCAACTAAATCTCAGACAGAACATGATGCCACCTCCTCCACTCCACCCTGATCAGCTTTCTTCCATGTCCTCACACATACTGTGTTCCCTGTCATGGGGTTTTCACTCATTTATGTATTTATTCTTTGATAAACTCAACTAATTATTGAATTTCTACTATGAGTCAAGCACTGGGGTCAAGCACTGGGGTGGGAATATAAAGTGAACAGGTAACAACATGGCTAGTTTCATGGAGAATATATTCTAGTCACAGAAGACAGAAATAGATCTACGGCCATACCTGAACATGCCTGATCTTGGAAGCTAGGTGGGGTCCAACCTGGTTAGTACATGGATGGGAGAAGACAGAAATAGCATGTAAATAAATAGGTTAAGTTCAGGACGTGACATGTGCTTCAAAGGAAACAAAACAGGGTGATAGAATCATTTGATCATCAGAGAAAGCTCCACTCATAGGTGCTTTTTAAGCACCATTTTATACAAAGGGGCCATCCATGTGAAGACTTGAAGAAGGAGCATTCCAGGCAGAGAGAATTACAAACACAGAACTAACTCTGAGATAAGTTTATCTACAGATAGACACAGAGAGAGAAGCTTATATATATGTGTGTATATATATGTATATATATGTATGTGTATATATACACACATATATATGTGTGCGTGTGTAGATATATATATACATATATATGACATGTGTCTATGGGACAGTGGGGCAGCAAGAGAAGGTAGATGGGTAAACAGAAATGAGATAAAGCCTTAACAGCCAGAATAGGATTTAAATTTTTATTTGAAGCACACTGAGAGGCTTTGGAGGGTTGACATCATCTGATTTACACGTTTGATTTCACACTGCAATGTTTAACAGTGGACATGGGGAGACTAGTAAGGGAGGATTGCAGTAAGGATGACTGGTGGTCGTAGCTTGGATTATGGGAATGTAGAAAAAAATGAAGAAGGAATGATTCAGGATATATTTTGGAGATGGAACAGATAGGAATTGCCCATGTGGCTGGAGAAAAGAAAGGGTAACTCCTAGGTTTTTGACTTAACAATCAGCTGGACAATAGTACCATTTTCTGAGATATGAAATTCTGGGTAGGGATGGGAATGGGGCTGGGAGAGGCAAGCGGGCAAACTGCCCATACTGTCCTTCTCTTGGGACTGTTTTTCATTCCCTCTTCACCTAGTTGACTCCTTCCTATTTGGATCTCAGCTCAAATGTCACTTTCTCAATGAAGTCCTTCCCTGACAAGTTCAAACTAAAGCTCTATATTAAGTATACGCTCAATTGCTGCCATGTAGTTTCCCCTAATAGTAGCCTGGAAAAGTAGCCACCAATTCCTCTAGCAACCACACCATCCATAGCATTTCCACTTCCCTCTTACTCTGATCCCGCCAGTCTAGGCCACGTGGCTTGCATCTGCCAATAGGGTATCAGCAAACATAACACAGGCGGAGACTTGAAAGGCACTTGGGCAGTTGACTTGTCCTGCTCCACTGTTTTGGAACTCTGAAAACATGGAAAGAAGCTTGACTGACATGCTAGACAATGAGAAACATGTGGCCCCTGCTGACGACCTGCCAATGCCATGACACAGGAGTCAGTCCCCCTAGATCATCCACCCGCCAGCTGACCAGAAAGGTGAGTAAGAGCCCTGCTGAGCAGAACCAAGGTAAAAGAACCACCCAGCCCACTCAGAATCCCAAGCTAGCCAAACAATCGTAAAAAGTCACTAAGTTTTGTGGTGATTTGTTACACCGCAGAAGTGGATACAGTAGCACATACCTCAGTGGCAATTTTACACATCTTTGTTTGATTAGCTTCTATCCCTGCCACATGACTGTGAGCTCTCTAAAAGCATAGACTATTCTGATCTTAGGTTACTGTGCCAACCTCAAAGCCGAGCATAATACCTGGAACACACCAGGCATCCAACCAATAACATGCTGAGTGAAGGCAAGGAGCAAAGAGAGGTACACATTGTAACACAAGCGAATACGGGAAGTTGAAAACAAAGGACGGCGGACATCTATTTGTCCAAAATAAAAACTTTTAATCAGCAGCACACGGCAGTGAGGAATACGAGACCAAAATCACATTTCCTCTGTCTCAAAGGGCTCAAAGTTTAGAGTATAGGAGACAGTACAAAATCAACAAAGTGTACTGTTTTAGCATTCCAACACTTTGCACTTCGCTCCTCCAGACAGTATTAGGGCCCCGTCCCAAAGCGTTAGGACCAGGCCCTAAGGTTGCCTGAAAAAGCGAAGTGTGGGAGGATCCCAGAGAGGTTTCTCGAAGCAGATAAAGTCTGAATTGAGGCTCACGCCTGTAATCCCAGCACTTTGGGAGGCTGAAGGGGGGCAGATCACTTGAAGCCAAGAGTTCAAGACCTGCCTGGCTAACATGGCGCAACCCCGTATCTACCAAAAATACAAAAAATTAGGCCAGCATAGTGGTGCACGCCTGTAATCCCAGCTATTCGGGAGGCTGAGGCAGCAGAATCGCTTGAACCCAGGAGGTGGAGGTTCCAGTGAGCCAAGATTGTGCCACTACACTCCAGTCTGGTCAAAAGAGCGAGACTCCATCTCAAAAATATATATAAATAAATAAAGTCTGAATGGAGTCCTTGCAGTGTTTACTGGGAAAAGCAGCACACGAGAAGGCCGAGAGGGTCAAAAGGACAGAGGCGTTCAAAGGACAAAGGAGAGCGTCCTGTTTGTTTGGGGTTTTAGTATTTTTGAATTTTTGTTGCCCCAGGCCAACCCTGAGAGCCAGAACTGTTCGTTATTTATCTCAGCACAGGTTCGGTGTAAGCGTTGCCTCCTCATCCGACGCTCAGGCCCTTCAGGTCCGGGACCCCTGCTTCTTAATTATGTTTCTGTTATTCCCAGTGTCTAACACAATCTCTTCCGCGAAGTCGGAACTTGATACGTATTTGCTGAATAAATGAAAAGTTAAAGGTGAGGCAGTAAGCACCGCTCCTTCCAAGGGCAGCTCTCAAGAGCCCACGTTTTCAGATTAAACAGCGAAGTGGACGCGTCTGGTACGAGACTACAAGTCGCACAGGCGGAGACGCGGCCCCCGGGCCTCTGGTTTCACGTCTCCCTCCTAGTTCCCGGCGGACCGGCGTCTTTTCTCCCCTGCTCGGAGGAGGCTGGGTGTCTGGTAAGCGCGGCTGTTAGAGAGGATGGAGGAGCCGCAGCCCCGCGGTGCTTCCCACAGGCTTCGCCGGCAGGGACGCGCGGGACGACCGCGCAGGCGGCTCTGCAGGGGTGGGCGCGCCATCACCCCTCTCGGTCCCAGGGGTGGGCGCGCCATCACCCCTCTCGGTCCCTCGCTGCTTTGCGCTTTCCGAGCCCCAGCAGCGCTCAGGCTGCCTCGGGCATTGACCGCGGGGGCGCGCACCCCGTTTCCATAGAAACGCCCGGGCTGGCGCGGCGGCGCGAGGGGCGGGCTCTCCGGCTCCCGGCGGCTGCTTGCGCCCCAGCGCGCGCCCAGGCGCCTTGGAGTCCCCGTCCTTGGGCCCCCGCAAGGTCCCCTGCCGTGCGCGAGGCAGCATGATGAGGCGCACCCTGGAAAACCGGTAACAGCCCGAGCCCAGCTGCCCAGGGCCGCCCACACTGGAGGGCTGGGGTGAGGGAAGTGGAGCCTCTGTCCGTGGGGCCTCTGCGCCGAATTCCGACCCTGGGCGGCAGGCTGCACGGTCCCCGCTGTGGCCTGGGGCCTAATTCCCTGGGCTGCAGCGAGCGCCGGCGGCGAAGGGGAGCCCGGGGCCCGGCCGGCTGCCACCCACCCACGCCTCCGGGTCTCGGGTCCCCACACTGCCGCGGGCAGTGCAGAAGCCTTGGAGGCAGCCGGGCTCCCAGGCCGCGCTGCGCGGAGCAGCCACCTCCCCAGTTAAGGCCAGGCCCACCCGGCCTGGGCCTCTTCCTGTGCCTCTTCCTGTGCCTACACTGTCCGGATAGTGAGGTCAGGACCCCATGGAGAGCAGTCCGCGCCGGGAGACGGTGGATCGTTGGTGGGTTTGTGCCTTCAAAGCTGCAGAATGCCCGGGGAATGTTTGCATGTTACATTAACGTGAAGCCTTCTCATCTCTAACCAGAGTGTTTTGCCTTTTGTGTCACCTTTTTCTCTAGGAACGCTCAAACGAAACAACTGCAAACAGCTGTCTCAAATGTGGAGAAGCATTTTGGAGAACTGTGCCAAATCTTCGCTGCCTATGTGCGGAAAACTGCCAGGCTGAGAGACAAAGCCGACCTCCTGGTGAATGAAATCAACGCGTATGCTGCTACAGAGACCCCACATTTAAAGCTGGGCCTGATGAACTTTGCTGATGAGTTTGCCAAACTTCAGGATTATCGACAAGCAGAGGTATGGCGTGAGATCACAGTGTCATTGTTATGAATGAGCCATGAAGTAGTGGATGAAGGAACCGTGGGAACTTTCACTTGTAATCTACCTAACTGCAGAGGTGGATACAAACTTGATAAAACCTACATTTTCATGTCTATAACACTGTGTGAATCTATTAAAGAGAAGCTTTCGGCCGGGCGCGGTGGCTCACGCCTGTAATCCCAGCACTTTGGGAGGCCGAGGCGGGCAGATCACGAGGTCAGAAGATCGAGACCATCCTGGCTAACACGATGAAACCCTGTCTCTACTAAAACTACAATAAAATTAGCCGGGCGAGGTTGCGGGGCTCCTGTAGTCCCAGCTACTTGGGAGGCTGAAGCAGGAGAATGGCGTGAACCCGGGAGGCAGAGCTCGCAGTGAGCCGAGATCAGGCCACTGCACTCCAGCCTGGGCGGCAGAGCAAGACTCTGTCTCAAAAAAAAAAAAAAAAAAAAAAAAAAAGAAGCTTTCTGTGTTTTATTTTACCGTTTTCAAGCTAAATTTTAGGGAATCTTGAAGTCTTGAATTTCCCCACTTTATTTGCCAACTTTTGGCCAAGGGGTGGCTGTTTACTGGGGGTAGTGGGAATAGTACGCAGGGGGAAGAAAATAAGCATAACTTAATGTCTTGTGTGGCACGTAAGTACATTATTAAAGAATGACTAGAGATAGAAATGTTGGGAATGGTAATGTGGATGGATAAATTATTAATAAATGGGCAAGAGATCATTGCTGCATCCAACTGGAAAATTGACCAATGGTTTACTAACAACAACAACAACAAAATGCTATGAATTGTATCATGAAAGCAAACCAATACTGAGACACCGTGTGGACTTTTTGCTCTGGGTAGCAGGAGAGGTATCCTTGTGATTGTTTTCTTTCTAAAAGCCCATTTTTTTCCTTTAAATACTTAATGAGCTCTTTTACTTGTATTTATTTTCAGTTTCACAACATAGGTGAACTTATCAGAAGTTGCCCATTTAGAAATGCGTTGCTTTTTTGTACTTTTCTCATCAGAACCTAAAATGGAAATTTCAATTTTCAAAAAATAGAATGAGTATAAAAAAAAATTGAACTCATCATTGCTATCCATACAAATTTGAAGAGTAATGTTTGGAGGTACTTTTAGAAAAATGTTGAGTTCTTGTCATGAAACTTCTTCTGTTATAAACAAGTAACTCTCAGTTACATCTAACTGGGAACTTAATGTTTCAAAGATAATTTATATTCACAGGTAATCCTAAAATCTTATTTTAGCCAATAATTTCAGTGCCCCTTTGTAGAAAACCTTTATGCTATTTATCAAATAGCAAAGTGAATTGATTTGCATTTGTTCTCCTTTTATTTCCCTTGCTTACCAAATGGTGGAGGTCCTAATGAACAATGACAAAAAGGTAGGCAACAAAAAGGAGAACAGAAATAAGACTTAGATAATCCTTAAGCTGAATAATCAGTATGGATTATAAGAAATGGTGTAAACCAAACTGTCCTGAATATCCATGATTTTAGGATTTCTAATATTTGAATACTTAATGGGAAGTTGATTTTTATTTTCCTAACATTTTAAAATGAAACAGTCATATACATTTTGTTTACAGAAACTAAAGAAAAATCAATATGAAATTAAGTGTATTTGTCAATTATATAAATATGTATCATTAAAAAGCCCTTTTCCTGCGATTAAAATATTACATGTTCATTTTAAGCAATTGAATACATGTCACCTATCTTGAGAGAAAAAATTTTAATGTCCAAGAGTTATTTTTCTTATGCTGTATTTAAATACTTACCTTAAAAAAAAATCTGTCTCTTCAGTGCCTTCCACTAGTGCTACTTGTAAAAGAAGTAATTACTCAAAATGTGATTTAAAAACATAACTATAACATTTAAGAAACACTATTTAATTCTAAATGAAACAGAGATGAGACATACAGTTTGACAGCTCAGCAACTCAGACCATTTATCTTGTTCTGTAGGCTTTGATAATTCACAAATGGCTTCTCAGAAAAAAAAAAATGCAGCAAATACAGTGATCTCTAAGCTTTTTTGCTTTTGAAGGTTATATTGCTTTAAATGTTTCCAAGATGCTCTGTCTTTCAGCTTTGATTTTCTTTTCTGAAAAGTTGAGCTATTATAGTTCAGAGATAATATACCTAAAGTATCCAGTACTGTGCTGAACACACTGAAAATGTTAGCTGTATTAAAATTTGAGCTGTCTTAACACACTTAAACTACTACTTTAAGGTAACAAAGTAATCCTAAGATGATGATGTGGCCAGGATGAGCTCCTGGGAAACCTGAGACATTTTCTTGTCATTTTGCTTTTCAGATGCTTTTCTACTTTTACTATTACTGTGCAGCTTAACAGTTTTTAATGTGTTTGAGTTTAGATTCTGAGTCTTATTAATTTCTAGTGATTAGCCTTTTATTTATAGGCTAAAAGGTTAAACATTCTAATTTAAAATTTTAATAATTTTCAATAGGTTGAAAGACTTGAAGCCAAAGTGGTTGAACCCTTGAAAGCTTATGGGACCATTGTGAAAATGAAACGGGTAAGTAAATCCATTTTCTCACTTACTATGAGTTACTCTGGCAAAGAGTATGAGGTTTCCAATTGTTTTTTTAATAAGAAATACAAAGTAGTGGCCAGGAGTGGTGACTCACACCTGTAATCTCAGCACTTGGGGAGGCCAAGGAGGGCGGATCATGAGGTCAGGAGTTTGAGACCATCCTGGCCAACATAGTGGAACCCTGTCTCTACTAAAAATACCAAAAAATTAGCTGGGCATGGTGACGTGCACCTGTAATCCTGGCTACTCAGGAGGCTGAGGCAAGAAAATCGCTTGAACCCGGGAGGCAGAGGTTGCAGTGAGCTAAGATAGTGCCACTGCACTATCTTAGCACTGCCTGGCGACAGTGCGAGACTGTCTCAAAAAAAAAAAAAAAAAAAAAGAAATACAAACTAGTATATAGTCATTCTTTTTACTCTGAAAGATCCCTTAGCTCTTTAAGAATAATGAAATATTTTTAGTGAGCTTATTAAGCATACCGTAGCAACATAGACAACAGACATTATTATGGAAACTTTAAAATAATTATAATCATGAAAAATATATGGACAGAAATTGCTTTACTATATGAATATAAGTTTTTGTTTAAAGCAGGTGATAGCATTTAGACTTTTAAAATGTGTGAGAGAGTTCTATTTTTAAAACTAACTTTATTGAAGTGTAATTTACATCAGCAGTCCCCAACCTTTTTGGCACCAGGGACCGGTTTTGTGGAAGACAATTTTTCTTTAGTTCACAATAGGGTTTGCACTCCTATGAGCATCTAATGCTGCCTCTGATCTAACAAGAGGCAGAGCTCAGGCCTTAATACTAGCTCGCCCACCGCTTACCTGCTGTGCTGGCCCAGTTCCTAATACAACTGGGAGTTGGGAGCCCCTGATTTATATGCAATAAAATTCTTCCATTTTAAGTGCTCATTGAGTTTTGACAAATGTTTATACCCATGTAACCACTACCATCATCAAAATTACACATTTATATACGTATATCTATTATGGTTAATAGTTTTGCACTGAAATTGTGTCATTATTTTGAGAGAATATTAAACACATTCTCATATACATAGACACTAATTATGTAATACTTGTAATTCCTGTGGTAATGGTACCAGGATCACACAAGAAGTATTCTTCCATTCTTAAAACAGAGTGTGTGAATTTTCTTAAGTCAGACATTTTTACTAACAAAAAAATGTCAATTTGCAGGATGACCTCAAGGCAACATTCACAGCAAGGAATCGAGAAGCAAAGCAATTAACTCAGTTAGAAAGAACACGTCAGCGAAACCCATCTGATCGACATGTTATTGTATCCTTTGAATTTGGGTCTTTAAAAAAATGTTTAAGGTATGGAGTACAAAAGTAAATGTATATAGAAATTGTGCATTTTTACTTTTAAATGAGTAGAGAATTTGAATATAAAGATTGAAAAGAAATGCATTTAGGAATTCTCAGTATAGAAATTGGCTAATTTTAAAGAGGTTACACCACCTAATTCAAATCCCCTTATATTGTTTTACACAGTAGACTTTGCAAACGAACAAACAAAAAATTCAGATGTTTGTATAAAGAGTAAATTCAGATTTCTGAATTTTATTTTCACATGGTGATGACTAAATATTAATTCTACAATTAACTTAAAGATCTATCATTAATCCTAATATATCAGTGTCCTCTATGCCCTGTTTTGAGAAAAGGAAAGAAAATTTTCCCATTTAATTTCCTTCATCTTTTAGAAATAAAACAATTATGTGGGCCAGGCGTGGTGGCTCACCCCTGTAATCCCAGCACTTTGGGAGGCCGAGGCAGGCAGATCACAAGGTCAGGAGATCGAGACCATCCTGGCTAACACAGTGAAACGCCATCTCTGCTAAAAATACAAAAAATTAGCCGGGCTAGGTGGCGGGCACCTGTAGTCATAACTACTCGGGAGGCTGAGGCAGGAGAATGGCGTGAACCCAGGAGGCAGAGCTTGCAGTGAGCCGAGATTGCGCCACTGCACTCCAGCCTGGGCGACAGAGCCAGACTCATCTCAAAAAAAAAAAAAAAAAAAAAAGAAATAAAACAACTATGTGAAATCATGACTTCCAGCCAGCCAGTTAACCTCAGGAGGGAGACTTAAGAGTAAAATTAAGATCCAAGTTGGACACAAACCTAGATACGACTGTCTACTGTAATAAGTTTCTTCTGTTAAACATGACTATTTCTTAAACTACAATGTGCCTTGTTCATTACTAAACAAAAGCATACAAAATAGTGCCTAACTGCCAGCAACTAAGATAGGTAGGACTGTGTAGAAAGCACTAACATCTGGCCGAGCGCATTGGCTTACGCTTGTAATCCCAGCACTTTGGGAGGTCGAGGCGGGCAGATCATGAGGTCAGGAGTTCCGAGACCATCCTGGCCAACATAGTGAAACCCCGTCTCTACTAAAAATACAAAAATTAGCCAGGCATGGTAGCACATGCCTGTAGTCCCAGCTACTTGGGAGGCTGAGGCAAGAGAATCACTTGAACTGGGAGATGGAGGTTGTAGTGAGCTGAGATCACACCACTGCACTGCAGCCTGGAAAACAAAGCGAGACTCTGTCTCAAAAAAAAAAAAAGAAAAAAAGAAAAAGAAAGCACTAACATCCCTACTGCCTCTTTTTTCCATTCCTTCTTCTATGTGTCTCCTTCCTACTTCCTTAAGGTTGTTACTGCCCAGCTCAGCCAGAAACCACATGAGGAGTGGCTCTTTGAGAGCATTTGAGGTTCCAGAACACCTCCATTCCTGAGGGGAGTCCCTTGAGCAGCGATTTGGGGCTGCACCAATTGCTTGGTCCTTCTTCCTTTGGACCAAAGGTACAGAAGCCCAACTTTGTACTAAACAAAAATGGGCAGCCATAGGGCTGGGAGTGGAGTGCCTACTGGAGACTGGGACAGAAACATCTAGATGGTCATAGTGGCATAAGATCTGCAAATGGAGATGATAGAATCTGTTTTTTAAGCAAGTCAGACAAACCAGAGAATGCTGGAAAATTTATGACTGATAACTAGAGATCAAGGCAGAGGCTGTGGGGTGGGGCGGGGGGTTCACCAGTGTTTAAGAATTAAGCTAGGGATCAAAATTTTTTGTTTTGTTTTGTTCTTTGTGGCCTGGAGTGGGGGAGGTGGTGATATATGAAGACATCTGGAATCCTGAGTAGTTGGCAAGATTGAATCAGGAGTACTGGTATCTACACTAAACACAGAAACGAATCTATTCCTAAGACAAACATTTTTCTGACTTGGATGCTGTGCTGTAAACTGCTGGGGAAGGGAGATAATCTTAGAGCACAGATGAAGCAGGTCTGTGGGTTCACATGGTGGGGAAATAAATACTACCTAAGAGGTTATTGCCACAGGTGAATCAATGTGCTCACTGGGTAAGATCTGCAACTTGTGTATTTTGACAACCTGAGACCAAAACATGAAGGACAATCCACACACAAATGTAGTCAATATAAATATACAAATATTCAATCATAGTATCATGGAATATTTCCCAGGATAAACTCTTAAAATTCATCTATGTAGAAGTATGTTTAAGTTTGGTATGTAAGAAAAGATAGAGTCACTCTGATAGAGAGGATAGGGAAAAGAAGAATTCCAGGGCTCTGCCTGCTCACCCCCAAAGTAGGACTCCAGGTGACTTCTAAACGAGCTTCCTGTAATGCAGTGTGACAAATACCAATCTGGCTTACCCTTTTAAAAATCATTTTAAACTGTTAACTAATTCTATTTAATATACCAGTATCTTTATTCATGGAGTTGTGTCTTAGTATTTTAATCCAAAGCATTTCCTATTCAAGTTGGAATTTTGAATTAGAGAATTTTGAAGAATTTTCAGTGAAAAGAAGAAATATTAGAAATCTATATTCTCTTTGCTAAAAATGGATGTGTTACTTTGGGTGAGTTGCTATGCTCAAGTAAAGGGATTTGAGACTTTCAGAAATAAATAGTAGTTGCTGGAGGGTGATAGAAGGTGAAGCTACACATATCCCAGCTATGGCTTCTGTTTCCCCATGCTTTCCTGATTTAGCCAACTCTACTTAGCCTTCTAAATTTTAAAATGAAAATATCAATAAATGAGGAGGGTAAAGACATGAGTCAAAAGGAAGTAGTCACAAGTAAAGAGCTGCATCAGTCAGGTGTAATAAACAGTATTAGGAATTAGTCTGCTTGAATATTCTCACTAGCACAAGGATAACGTGTATCAAGTAACTGTTTTACTCATAATAAATTTTTTTTCATAGTAGTAAGTCTTCAGAGGAGCTCTATTTTATCTTTGAATTTCCTGTAATGAAGTTGTAGTTTAAAGAATCTCAAACACAGAAATATAGAGAATTGTTTTTGATTCCTGGTTATGAATAAGTTGAAAGTTTGTATGATTTTTAAAAACTCTGCAGCCATATGGTAAATGTATATACAAATACAGAGAGGTATAAATGAATATAATTTTAAGTACTTAGTATCTTGAAAATGTGTAGTTGAATGAACCTAATTACAAAAGTAACCATAATTGATATATGGTTACAATTAATATATAACCTAATTGTAAGTGTTTATAATTCTATGGGTATATAAATTTATTGAAAGAATTGTTACACTCTCTTTGAAATGTATTTTTTCCTTTATGAAAAATTTCAGTCACAGGTGGGTAATAGAGTGGTGTGTCAAGAAATGGATCCTTATAGTAAACCCTTTTACTTGTTTCAATTTATACATTTTCTTGAAAAAGAAAGCAAAAGCTAAATGTCACGGTATTACTTATCACAGAACTTTGACAACAAATGCAAACTTTTTCTATGATTAATTATTAAATGATGATATATGTGACTTTTGAGTAAATATAATATTAGCACAAGAAACAAAACTTTGTTAGGAAGAATTTAATCCGAAAATTGGGCTGTGCCTTTTTAAATTTCTGTGTTACTGTTTAAGAACAAATCTTAAATATTTTTGGGCAACTTTTGTTCTAGCAGAGGAGGTGCTTAAAGAGAGATACACAATTAGATTAGAAATATTCTGCACTTGACAGTACTATAGCCACTGGCTGTATATGGCTATTGAGTTCTTGAAATACAACTAGAGTAACTTTGGAGCTAGTTTTTAATTTTTTATTTAATTTTAATTAGTTTTAATGAAAATAGCCCCATATGGCTAGTGGCCACCATACTGATTGGACAGTACAGATCAGATATTATGAGTACATGTCCAAATGTGTTAGACTTGCCATCTAATTCATTAGTTACTAGTGTATTTTTTTTTTGTAATAAGCATTAACTAAATAGAAGCAGTGTAACATGGTTGTCTTGTAAAGAAGAATCTACAAGTAGAAATCCCATGCTGAAATATTTTGTAGTGTATATTCCACCTGATGAGGATATTATAGAGTTAGGAATATTAACGCATTTGGAGAACAAGTAGAAGCAAGCAAGGTAGAAAGAGTCTTGGTTATATACCTGCTAACCCAAAATACCTCAATGTTGTACATTTTAAAAATCAAACTCTCAGTGGTAGAACTTGTCATAGCTGTAGGTCTCTCTGCTGTGTGCCACTCTCCTTAGTCATTTCCAAAGATGATTTCATGTAATCCATACAATAGTCCTATGAGATAAGCATAAAGAGTAAGAGATAATAGGCTGGGCACGGTGGCTTACACTTGTAATCCCTGCACTTTGGGAGGCTGAGGCAGGTGGATCACCTGAGGTCAGGAGTTCAACGTGATGAAACCCCATCTCTTCTAAAAATACACAAAATTAGCTGGGCATGGTGGCATGCGCCTATAATCCTAGCTACTCAGGAGGCTGAGTAAGAAGAATTGCTTGAATCCAGGAGGCGGAGGTTGCAGTGAGCCGAGATTGCGCCACTGCACTCTAGCCTGGGCAACAAGAGCAAAACTCTATCTCAAAAAAAAAAAAATAAGAGATAATCTGTAATTGAGAGAATTGAAATAATCTTTACTAAGTCATAAGTCCTTTTCAGGGGAGAAATGGCTAACGGGGAGAGAGAGACAAAAGAAAAATAATTTTTGATAAATGGCACAGGCAGTGAAATAGGGAAGCAGTAGAAAATATGGGACATGGTTTTACAGTAGGTTATCCAAGGATGTCTGGGAAAAAAAAAATGATTTTGTAGACAGAAAGGGAAGGATTTGGGGGTAGTTTTTGTCCTTGGGTTTTTTTTTTTCTAGATCGTGAATCATGTCACTAAATAAAGTTTTTTATTCTGCATGTGCTTACATAGATCATTTTATTATATATGGTAAAATATAATATTAACAATTTACACTGTTATGCCAAAAAGCCAGTACTGCACAATGGTAGAATTTACCAGTAAGCTCAACTGAATGAATTCTCATTTGATTTTTTTATATCTTTGGTTGGGGAATACTTTTGTAGGCAGAAACGGAATTACAGAGAGCTGCAATGGATGCTAGCCGAACAAGTCGTCATCTGGAGGAAACTATTAACAACTTTGAAAGGCAGAAAATGAAGGATATAAAGGTAATAAAGTAACTGTTAGGGTTCAAAATGTGTTTTTAACCTTATTTTTTACTTTAAACTCATGAAAAATTTAAATTACTCTAAATTTTTTAGCCCATAAATACCCCTTATAAAGAAAATATGATAAATAAGGGGCCAAGCACAGTGGCTCATGCCTGTAATCCTAGCACTTTGGGAGCCTAGGCGGGTGGATCAATGGAGGCCAGGAGTTTGGGACGAGCCTGGGCAACATGGAAAAACCGCATCTCTACAAAAAACTAGCCAGGTGTGGTGGCACATGCTTGTAGACCCAGCTTCTTAGGGGGCTGAGGCAGGAGGATCAACTGAGCCTGGGGAGGTTAAAGCAGCAGTGAACCATGACTGCGCCACTGCACTCCCTGCGTTCCAGCCTGGGCAACAGAGTCAGACCCTGCCCACCCCACCCCCCAACAACAACAAAAAGAAAACAGAAAAAGCAAAAAATATTATAAATAAAATATATCGTGGGTTTTTTTTTAAAAAATGGAAACAGTGGTATATAAAAGACCAACATTTCCAAACAGTAGCCAGATATTCAGCTTTTTATAACAAATACTATTTAATCAAGGGGAACTAACATTTATTGTGTTTTTATATACCAGGCGCTACAACAGGCACTTGACATAAATTCTTGCAGTCTTCACAGCAACTCCGTGAGGATGAGGTGGTGGTATTAAAAAATTAAGCAGCCAGGCACAGTGGCTCACACCTGTAATCCCAGCACTTTGGGAAGCTAAGGCGGGCAGATCACTTCAGGTCAGGAGTTTGAGAGCAGCCTGGCCAACATGGCGAAACTCCATCTCTACTAAAAATAAAAAAATTAGGCATGATGGCATGCACCTGTAATCCCAGCTACCCAGGAGGCTGAGGCAGGAGAATCGCTTGAACCCAGGAGGTGGAGGTTGCAGTGAGCTAAGAAGAGCATGCCACTGCATTCCAGCCTGGGTGACAGAGTGAGACTCTGACTCAAAAAAAAAAAAAAGAAATTAAGCAGAGACATAAATATTTTACCCAAAGTACAATAGCCAGAAATAGGAGCTATAAACCAATTTTTTAATGTGTGATTTCTGTTATAATACAGTCATTAATTTTTATAGCTTAATACTTTGTAGTAACTACATATTATCAAATAAGTAAACAGGGTAATAGTAGCCAACCACATAAATTTGCATCTACTATGATATGGTATCTTAGTCAACAAAATCACAAGAATTGCCTTATTCTAACACATTTGTAGATTTGAAACTTCTTGGGGATCATGAAATTCAGCAGGTCTTTTTGATAACCATCGTGGAAACACTTGAAGGACCTCTTATGACCATCTTACAGACTTTAAAACTCATCTAAGGCTCTTTTTGGCTCACTGAAGATTTTCCTGTAACAAGCTTTAAATATTTGTTTTGCTACTATTGACAAATCTTCCTTCATAAGCTATATTCTTTCAATAAAATAAGCATTATCTGCCACTTAATTATATTATTTATCTCTGAAATCCATGAAACAGTATTCATTTACATCTTTTATTTTCTTTAATTTCCTGTCATAGTTTCAAAGGATCTCTGAGCTTCTCAATTTAGTCACAGGCTCTGTACTCTTCTGTGTAATACTAGATTGCTACCCACAGAAGAACATCTCAGGGGGCTGTCCCGAGACAAATTCCTTTACCAAGCTAGGAGAGTATGGTCGGGGTATAAAGTTTTATAATTGCTGACATCCCCTCTTAAACTGAGGGAGGAAGGAGAATTATTAAGATAATTAATTAACCTTAACCTGAAAAATGGGAATGGAGACTTGTGAGCTATGCCTGATTCCACTGTTGGGTAAAGGCTTCTTTAGTGATGGGAAACTGATTCCTTGCTCCATCACTGTTCCTCAGACCTGCAAATTTTTCATTTACACATGGAAATTTGTCTCTACTCTGATCTTTGGGCTCACTTCTGTGTTCTGCCTGGATGCTGGTTTTAATTCCCTGAGCATTACAGAGTACCAAACCCCACAGAGAAAGTGCAGCATTCCCAGCTACAATTCCTGCTACCTGGGATTTCCTGAAGCAACAGGAGATGGTAGTAAGGTGCTGTATGGTGGAGGGTGCACAGAGAAGAAAAGAGCTTCTAAGCTTTTCTCTATTATGCCCCCAAAAGAGGGAAGTCTCTTGATTCCAGGAAGTCTCTTGGTCACAGAAGAAAATTTTAAAAAGACAGGAAGAAACCTACACTTTAAAAACACTGAGCTATAATTCACTGTGCAACTCTGGTTTTGAGTGTATACACAGATATATATATATCTATAGATAGATAGATAGATAGATAGATAGATAGATAGATAGATAGATAGATATAGTATGTATGTATGTATGTCTCTCCACTCCATGTTAGAACATTGTCATCACTTCAACCTTGTACAGTTTAGCTTTTGCCCCCATCTGCTTCCCAACCCTGAGCAACCACCACTAATCTTCATCTCTATGGATCGAGCTATTCTGCACATTTCATAGAATGGAATCATCAAATACATTGACTTCTGTGACTGGCTTCTTTCACTTAGCCTGCTTTCAAGGCATATCCATGTTGTAGGATGTATCAGTACTTCATTCCTTTTTTTGACCAACTGATATTCCATTGTATGGATATACCACATTTTGTTTACTCATTTCAAGGACATTTCAGTTGTTTCCACCTTTTGGCTATTGTGAACACTAATATAAACATTTACGTACAAGTCTTTATGTAAACATACATTTTCATTTCTTTTGGATATATACCCAGGAGTGGAATTGCTGAATTATTGGTAACTTGATGCTTAAGCATTTGAGGAAGTGCCAGACTATTTTCTAAAGTGAACGCACCATTGTGTTTGCCCACCAGCAGTATATGAGGGTTACAACTTCTCTGCATCCTCAGTACTTGCTATTCATCAGCCCTCCTAGTGGGTTTGAAGTAGTAGTTTCATTGTAATAGTCATCTCATTATAGTTTTGACTTGCATTCCATGATGATGCTTTTTTTTTCTTTCTTTAAAATAGAGACAAGGTCTCACTATGTTGCCCAGGCTGGTTTTGAACTCCTGGTCTCAAGTGATCCTCCCACTTCAGCCTCCCAAAGTGCTGGCATTTACAGGCGTGAGTCACTGTGCCTTGCCTGATGATGCTTTTTGGCCATCTGTGTATATCTGCCTTGAACAAATGGCTATTGAGATCCTTTACCCTTTTTTTCTCTTTTTTTTTTTTTTTTTTGAGACGGATTCTCACTCTGTCGCCCAGGCTGGAGGGCAGTGGCGCGATCTCAGGTCACTGCAACCGCCACCTCCCAGATTCAAGTGATTCTGCTGCCTCAGCCTCCCAAGTAGCTGGGATTACAGGCATGCACCACCACGCCTGGCTAATTTTTGTATTTTTAGTAGAGATGGGGTTTTGCCATGTTGGCCAGGCTGGTCGTGAACTCCTGATCTCAGGTGATCTGTGCACCTCCACCTCCCAAAGCTCTGCGATTACAGGCGTGAGCCACCATGCCCGGCTCCTTTACCCTTATTTTAACTGGATTGTCTTATTTCTGAGTTGTGAGAGATTTTTATATATTCTAGATAGAAGTCCCTTATCAGATAATCTGCATTTTTTCCCATTCTGTGGGTTGCTTTGTCACTTTCTTGATAGTGTCTTTGAAGCACAAGTTTTTAATTTTGATGAAATCCAATTTCTCTCTCTTCTTACTTGTGCTTTGATGTTATAACTAAGAATCCACTGCCAAATCCAAGGTCATGAATATTTATTCCTATGTTCTCTAACAGTTTTATAGTTGCAGCTCTTATATGTCTTTGATCCATTTGAATTAATTTTTATATATGGTTAAATTTTGTAAATGTTAAATATCATTATTTTGCATGTGACTGTCTAGTTGTTGCAGCACCATTTGTTGAAGAGACTATTCTTTCCTCAATTGAATGGTCATGGCATCTTTGTTGAAAATCAGTTGACGTGGTTTTACTTCTGGGCTCCCGTTCCTTTTCATTAATCTATGTGTCTATCCTTATGCCAGTACCACACTGTCCTAACATTGCTTTATAGTATGTTTTTAAATCAGGTAATGTGAGTCTTCATACTTTCTTCAGATTTTTTAAAATTGATATGGCTATTGTGGATCTGTTGCAATCCTGTATGAATCTTAGAATCAGTTTGTCAATTTCTACAAAGAAGTCAGTTCGGGTTCTTATAAGGATTATATCGAGGCCGGGCGCAGTGGCTCACGCCTGTAATCCCAGCACTTTGGGAGGCCGAGGCGGGTGGATCACCTGAGGTCAGGAGTTCGAGACCAGCCTGACCAACATGGAGAAACCTCGTCTCTACTAAAAATACAAAAAATTAGCTGGGCGTGGTGGCGCATGCCTATAATCCCAGCTACTGGGGAGGCTGAGGCAGGAGAATTGCTTGAGCCTGGGAGGCGGAGGTTGTGGTGAGCCGAGATCGTGCCATTGCACTCCAGCCTGGGCAACAAGAGTAAAACTCCGCCTCAAAAAAAAAAAAAAAGGATTATATCAAATATGTAGATTAATTTGAGGAGTATTGACATCTTAAGAGTAATTCTTCCTGTCCATGAACATGGGATGTTTTTCCATTTATTTTAATATTCTTTAATTTCTTTAAGCACTATTTGTAGTTTTCAGAATATAAATTGTGCATATCTTTTGTTAAACTTCCTATTTTATACTTCCTGTTGCTATCGTAAATGGGTTTGTTTTCCTAATTTCATTTTCAGATTGCTTGTCACAAATGTATAGAAAGACAGTTGATTTTTGCATACTGACTTATGTCTTACAACCTTGCCAAACTTGATTATTAGTTCTAATAGTTTTTTAGTAGATTCGTTAAATTGAGATAAATTTAATAAATTGAGATAAATTGGATTTTCCACATATAAATTTTGTTTTCTGCAACAACCTACAATTTAAATGCAACCTCCCATAACCCTAGCAAACTCCCAGAAACATGAGCACCAGATTATCAATACCAGAGTCTGTTAGGGTTCTCAATCTCCATTCTGCACATCATTCCTCATTACTGTCAAATTGCTTCCTTTCCAAGTAAGGCCACATTTGGGATCTTTTATGATAAAGAGGGATGTAGAAATCTCACAAGGTTGCCTCAAAGATCAGTCAAAAGGGTTACATTACAGCTCCTTTTTTTGTTTTTGTTTTTTTTTAAAGAGCTGGTGTCTCCCTATGTTGCCCAGGCTGGTCTCGAACTCCTGGGCTCAAGCAATCCTCCCACCTTGACCTCTCCAGGTGCTGGGATTACAGGCGTGAGCTACCATGCCTGGCTGGCCCCCTTATTTCTAATAACAATATTCACATATTGCCATGTTGATCTTAGCATGTCTCATAAACATTTCTGTGAGAAGAATACTTGGAAAAGTCAGATTATTGGTACCACTCTTAATTTGGGGAGAAACAGACAGAACATTCCTATTCTTACCTGTTACCAGGCTACTGCTTCTGGTAAGGGGCAGAGTTTGTGGCTCCTTTAACCACTCTGGAAGCAGAAATGATTGGCAGTAGTGAGCACTACTCATAACTGTGTGTGCATTACTGTGTTTGAGGTGAGTTTAATTGATAAGTCCATTTGAATTTTGGTATTGGAATTAAACAGCAAAGTAATACATTTTTGACAGACTTTTCATAGGAACTTTGCAGAGTGTCTCTCTGAAATGGGCTGTTATAGAACTTAGTGTACAAAATGAGAGAAAAATCACAATCCCATTTGTTTCCATGTATTAGGAAAAGTCATCAGTACATGATGAATGTCAAGGGAATTTCACAATTACAAAAAAGGTACTTAACCAGGAGTTACTCCTGTAACAAACGGGGATAGGAACTCAGTGTGTAGTGAAGTAGCTGACATAAGCAAGAAACATCATAATTAATTTTTTATAGCTTTATTTTTATTATAAATATAAATCGTAAAACTTATCCATAAAATTATAGAGAAAAATTTAGTCTTACCACCCAAAAATATTCACCATTTTTTATTTTACCCTTCCAGATTTTTCCTATGCATATATACAGAGACATGGTAATAACAATAACAAACATTTCTTAAACACTGTGTGCCAGGTACCATTCTAAGCATTTTGCATGAATAAACTCATTAATTCCTCAAAACATCATTATGAGGAAGGTACTATTTTTAGCCCTGACAGTTATACATTAATGGGACCACCGTATATATAGCATCTCTTCTTAAAACTTACGGATATATTTATGCCAAGAAACAGATCCATATTATTTTTTGTTATCTTTATGATATTCTGCAGTATGGTTATACTAGTTCATTTAACCAGTCCTCATTGGTGAATGTCTAGGTTATTTTTGCAATTGTAGTTGTCACTGCATCATTACACATCGTTAAACAGCAGCCTTAACTGCTAGCCCAGTTATTCTCTTGAGATAAATTACCAGATGTGGAGCTCCTCCTTCAGAGCATACACTTTTAATGTTAATATATATTTTTAAAACTTCTGTCCACAGAGGTTAAACCAGTTTACATTCCTCTAAACCTTGCATAAGCACAGGTACAATGATGAGTTTGTTTGGTTTTTTTGTTGTTGTTTTGAGACGGAGTCTCGCTCTGTCACACAGGCTGTAGTATGGTGGCATGATCTTGGCTTACTGCAACCTCTGCCTCCTGGATTCAAGTGATTCTCCTGCCTCAGCCTCCCGAGTAGCTGGGATTACAGGCGTGTACCACCATGCCCAGCTAATTTTTGTATTTTTAGTAGATGGGGTTTCACCATGTTGGCCAGGGTAGTCTAGAACTGCTGACCTCAGGTGATCCACCTGCCTCGGCCTCCCAAAGTGCTGGGATTACAGGCATGAGCCACTGCACCTGATGTGTTTTTTGTTTGTTTTATATGACAATGTTGACACCATAAGTTGCAGTATTTTTAATAGGACGATAGGTAAAAAATCAGTATCATTTGCATTATTACTGCTGAGCTTTTTAAATATATTTAGCAATACATTTCTTTAGTAAATTATATTTTTCCTTAACCTATATTTCTGTTGGATGTTGGAATTTCTTACTAATTTCTAAAAATTATTTATATTGAGACAATTAGCCCTTCAAATGAAAGAGAAAGTATGTTGCAAATGTCTTTTCTCATTTTACTGCTTACAGTGTTTTTGCCACCTCTTTTCTTTTTATTGCCAGATCTATCTGTCTTATTTTTGGTTTCTTCCTTGGTGTCATGCTTAGAAAGGTTTTCATCCCCTAGGTTATATAAGTATTGCTTATACTTTCTTGATTTTTAACATATTTTAAACATTAAATATTGAGCTGGCAGCTGTGTTTTGCAGTGTTATGACATGGATATATAACTTTAATTTTCAAATGGGTAGACAGTTCTCCTGACATCCTTTATATCCTATACTCTGGAGAGCTGTCATTTCCTCTTTGCCAAAATGTTCTTAAAACCTTTTCGTCAAAGATCTTTGTTAATCAAACAAGATAGAGGCTTTACTGTTAGTCACTACGTCCAATTTAGCTAGTTGACTTTGTTGTTCTTGTTGAGACAGAAGTCTCCAAATGTTGCCAAGCTAGTCTGGGGCACCTGGACCCAAGGGAACCTCCTGCCTCAGCCTGCCAAGTAGCTGGGATTATAGGCACATGCCATTGTGCCTGACTAGTTTATTTCTTGAGCATTAAAAATGGGTGTTTTGGCTTGTCATCAACTCTTAGTTCAGTTTTCCCTCTAGGAGTTTCCACACTCAAGAAAACCTGACTCCTTTCTGGTTTGCAACTATCATAAGGACACTAACAACTAAGAGTAGATCCCAGCCCTGGTCAGAAGCCATTCCTCCTCTAAAGTATTCCTGGGTATCTAGAGATACTTTAATATGAAATCCAAAATTGTATTTTAGCATAAGGCCGTTTATCAGTCAGTTGCCAGCCTGGTATACCTGAGCCCTCTCTAACTTACATGAAGTGACAATAAGGGTGATTGTGAATCATAGTTACAAGTCTCTTTTAACCTAGGCCCTGTCCTCTCAGTTAGAATGACATATATCACTGAGTAGCAATCAAAGCCTCTTAATGCTCCCTTAAGTGTTTTTCTAATCATCTAGGAAAGAATGGGGCTGGAGGGAAGAATCACAGGCCACTGATAATTATCTATATGGCTGTCCCCCAAAGTATATGACCACTCTTTTCTGGGTTATCTTAGGAGAGCAGGGATGAAGGGAAATGTGTATTTGACTAGCCTTCTAATATAATCCATGCTTGAGTATTTTCTGCCTTGTTCTTATTCAGCCCGGTTCTCTCTACATTGCTTATTTTGTTATAATTAACAAGATGATACGATCATGTTTATTAAAAACTTGCCTGGTTTCCATCTTTTCCCTATCCACTGATTACCTCACCCCCTGCTTAGATCAACATGCACATCTTCACTCATACTTTTTGTTCATGATCTTCCTTGTCATAAGTTTCCATCATGCTTATATAGAGGTTACCTGCACAGTTTATCTGTGAAGGAAATTATTGATTCCGGCAAGAACAGCACAGTTCAGTGGGCAATAGCAGAAAAACCTTAAATGAGCTATAACCTTATAGCCTTAGAATCAGATCTGTGTCTAAAGAGTCTTATCTGTGAGCAACACTGGGCAAGTCAATATCTGTAAACTGGAACGCTCTATGCAAATATATGGTATTATCATCAGTGGCAGGAGTGTCATTACTACCAAGTAACTCCTTTATGTTTAGAGAATACAAGTAGCATATAGTGTGGAACATAATTCCTGTTGAAAAAATGTTCTACTGTTTAAACATCAGTTGGAATTGCTAAAACACCAGCTTCATAACTGAACTGCTCTAATAATAAGCATATGGTATTAAAAGTATACAGTAGCATACATTTTAGTCAGATCTTCTGTTATTATAAATGTCAGTTACTAAGTATAAAGAGAACTAACTAAAATAAAAAATAAGATGGAAGTGAATGGTGATAAAGGAAATACTTTGTATAATTTGAAGGTTTGGCAGCAAAAGGTCTTCACAACTGTTTCTCTTTCAGTTATCTTTTGTACTTTATTTGCCCTGTAGAAAAACAGATACTTCTGTATTTTATAAAGTACCAAGACTATAGTGAGGAATAAAGTTACTATATTCATAAAGAAATTTAAATCGTTGTTTAAATTCAATTCTTTGGGTTTTTTTTAGACTATATTTTCTGAATTTATCACAATCGAAATGTTATTTCACGGCAAAGCTTTAGAGGTCTACACTGCTGCCTACCAGAATATACAAAACATTGATGAAGATGAAGATTTAGAGGTAGGACTATATCTATCTAAGCTCAGTTCTTCTTTTAATGTGGAAATATTTAAAAGAGAACATTAGTTTGTATGTGATTAGTATCTTTTTTTTTTTTTGAGACAGAGTCTCACTCTGTTGCCCAGGTAGGAGTGCAGTAGTGTGATCTCAGCTCACTGCAACTTCCGCCTTGTGGGTTTAAGCAATTCTCCTGCCTCAGCCTCCCAACTAGCTTGGGTTACAGGTGCCCACCACCATGCCCAGCTAATTTTTGTATTTTTAGTAGAGATGGGGTTTCACCATGTTGGCCAGGCTGGTCTTGAACTCCTGATCTCAAGTGATGCGCCCACCTCGGCCTCCCAAAGTGCTGGGATTACAGGCATGAACCACCACGCCCAGCCATGATTAATATCTTAAATTTGAACACTACAGTGGTTATTATGTATAATCCAAAACAGATGCATTTTTATGATTTTCCATTTATTTTCAACTTTTCAAATTAACCATGGCAAAAGTTCCAGGAGTTAATTTATTAATAGCTAGTAAAATACAATTTACATAAAGCCATTAAATAAAATACTGTGTATCATTTTGACTGGTGATATAAGCCCACTGAAGTGTGCTAAAAAATAACTAACATTTAGTGACTTCAGTAACATTTGAGTGTTTACATCATGCACAATACCCAGAGCTTTACATGCATTTTCTCATTCAAACCTCAAAATCTTAGGTGGTAGGTGCTGCTGTAACTCTCATTTTACAACTACAGAAACAGGCCAAGAGGATTTAAATAACTTATTTGTGGCCACTTAGCTAGTAAATAGCAGAATCAGGATTCTGACTATGTAATGTAATCACTAAGCTATGAAATAAATGTAGGTTATGTAAGCTTGCTTTATGCTGATGGTTTTAGTTAAATGCAGATAATTCTGATTGGCCAACTAACATTAGAGCAAGTAAATATCAAAGCCTGGTCCTCAATGAGCAATTTTGTAAATATCCAACCCTCTTACCTTCCAAAAGGAAAAAATAAAGGTACGAAAGTATTTATGCTGAAGTAAACTGTTCAAGACATACTTTCCCCATCTCATCTCTAATACAGAAGTGAAAAAAGCCATGTAATCCCAACATATAACAAGAATTCTGTATTAATAAAATATGGAAGTGTCTACCACTTAACAAATTTGAAGATTCCCCCCAATTTTTTTTTGTATCTTCCCCCTGCCTCCAAGACGGAGTCTTGCTCTGTCACCTAGTCTGGAGTGCAGTGGTGCGATCTCGGCTCACTGCAACCTCCACCTCCCAGGTTCAAGTGATTCTTCTGCCTCAGCCTCCCTAGTAGCCGGGATTACAGGTGCCTGCCACCACGCCCGGCTAATTTTTCTATTTTTAGTAGAGATGGGGTTTCACCATATTGGCCAGGCTGCTTTCGAACTCCTGACCTCGTAATCTGCCCGCCTTGGCCTCCCAAAGTGCTGGGATCACAGGCGTGAGTCACTGCGCCTGGCCTAATTTTTATTTGTATCTTAACTATCAATAAAGAGATCCTCTGAGCCTTCCCGTCCCATTACTCCATGGGCTTCAGGAAACTTAAAACCAGAATATAGGTTAAATAAAATGAAGAAAGTACATATTACAGTATGTGTATATATGTTTCTAATGTCAAAATCTAATTTGTTTTATATCAGTTATATATACATATTTATATTTCTCTATTTGTCAGTAATGACTTCCCAAGTGTTACTTCCAAACACTACAGCTAAGGTTTCTTAACTTTCACTCCTTTTCATGTCCTGCTTTTAAAACTTGATTATGAAGGCCAGGCGCAGTGGCTCACGCCTGCAATCCCAGCACTTGGGGAGCCCAAGGCGGGTGGATCACCTGAAGTCAGGAGTTCAAGACCAGTCTGGCCACCATGCTGAAACCCCGTCTCTACTAAAAATACAAAAATTAGCTGGGCATGGTGGTGGGCACCTATAATCCCAGCTACTTGGGAGGCTGAGGCAAGAGAATCACTTGAACCCGGGAGGCGGAGGTTGCAGTTAGCTCATATTGTGCCACTGCACTCCAGCCTGGGTGACAGAGTGAGACTCCATCTCCAAAAATAAAAAGGGCGGGCACGGTGGCTCATGCCTGTAATCCCAATACTTTGGGAGGCCGAGGCAGGCGGATCACGTGGTCAGGATATTGAGACCATCCTGGTCAACGTGGTGAAACCCCGTCTCAAAAATTAGCCAGGCTTGGTGGCACACGCCTGTAATCCCAGCTACTTGGGAGGCTGAGGCAAGAGAATCGCTTGAATCCAAGAGTCGGAGGTTGCAGTGAGCCAAGATCACGCCATTGCACTCCAGCCTGGCAACAGAAACTCCATCCCCCCCCAAAAAAAAATTGACTATCAAGCTTTCATCTGTCATTTATAAAATAATAAAATAGCAAATGTTTACATATTACATTGAGTCAGCTATTGATCTTTGCATTTTAACTATATTATTTTAATCCTCTCAACAACTTTGATGAAAGTACTTATTTCTGATTTCTGTGGATGAGAAAACGGAAGCATAGTGAAGTTAAGAAGCTTCCCAGAGATCTCATAGCTACTAAGTAGCAGAGCTGAAAGTCTGATCCGGAAGTCTGACTACAAGGCCCATTATGCTTTAATCCTCTCTACATTAGACTTCCAGAAGTATGGTTCTTGCTGAGTAACATTAATCATTTCCTGCAAGAAATAACACTGCATTTAGTGGCAGGTTCAAAAGTGATCCCCCAATTCTTCTTCAAGACTGTAGTCCACTTTATAAGTATTTTCATTCTTCTTTGTATAATACCTTTGACATGCCATTTGTTAACTGACCTTAAAGTTCCTTCAAGCCCTTCAGTCCCCAAGGTTTTCCTTCTTATCCCAGAGGCCCTAGGTATTTTTTTGTTACACCACTTCCTTTATAACTTACCACTACTCTTAATCAGCCATCTAAGTAGTTTGTGGGAAAAGAGCTCTATGTAAAACTAAAGGTCTTAGGAATATGTGGTAGATTTTTTTTTTAATATCAACTCCCCTACTTTCTAGTGAAGTAATACTGAGCAAGTTAACTTACTCGCTCTTCAGCTTCCTCCTTTCTAAAATGGAGATACTGTAGTACTTACCTCATGTCGTGTTTGTTCAACAACTATTTATTGAGCACCTCATATGCGCCAAGCACCATTCTAAGTGTGAAGGATTTAGCATTCTAAGTTAGAAACAGTCCAAGTTGTCAAAGCAGTAACTTTAAATCTACCAGGGAATTCGACATGCAAAAAAATAACTAACGATTTTTTAATAATATGACCAGTCCTATAAAGGGGAAAAAAAAAGTGTGCTGTGTGTAATGGAGGGTTACAAATAGTCTGGAGAATCAGAGTGATCTCTTAGAATCTTGAGAGATGCATGGGAGGGTGCCTGGCAAAAACTTTCAGGGAGAGGGCATAGATAGATACACAAAGGTCCTGAGGCAGGACTGTTGTGAAGAAAGAACAGTGTATTTAAAACAATACAGTTGAGAATCATGGCATGTCATGGAAAAAAACAAAAGCAAAACAGCACAGTATAGGACACGAGCACATGTTCAATGAACCACGGGCATAAACTATTTATTATTATGCCATATAGCAATTGTGGAGAGAACAGTCTGGAGAGAATTGTGGGACCAGGGGAAGTAACTAATTCATGTAACTGATACAGTATCAAACAGGTACCTACCAAGAGGAAGGATCCTGTAAATACAAGGTTTCTTGGAAAGAAGCAAAGAAAACATGCAGAAAAAGACTGAGAAATAACTTGCTATTCTTCCAGATAGTCTATGCTTTGTGAGAACTGCTGAGATGTATTCCAGCTGCAGCCAGCGTTTTGTAGTTAGGCTCCTCTAGTTGTATCACAAACCATCTTAATTGTTTTTCACAAAAAAATACTGTCGGCCAGGTGCGGTGGCTCAGGCCTGTAATCCCAGCACTTTGGGAGGCTGAGGCAGGCGGATCATGAGGTCAGGAGTTCGAGACCATCCTGGCCAACATGGTGAAACTCTGTCTCTACTAAAGATATAAAAAATTAGCCAGGCATGGTGGCACGTGCCTGTGATCCCAACTACTTGGGAGGCTGAGACCGAAGAATCACTTGACCCTGGGAGGCAGAGGTTGCAGTGAGCCAAGATCGCGCCATTGCACTCCAGCCTGGGTGAAAGGGTGAGACTCCATCTCACGGAAAAAAAAAAAAAAAAAAAAAAAGTATTGTCAGGTCACCTCTGTATTAACTTCAGAGCACATTCAGATCTTGAGAACTGCTCTTAGAAGAAATACTGGACCATGTTCGAAAATGCATTATTGCCAATAAATTGGAGTAAAATGTTAATTTTAATAAATATTTAACTGGTATAGACTTGTATTCCAAGGGTTACATACTGTTTTCCATTTCCCACTTTAAATTCCATCTTTGCTAGAAAAGTTAAAGGAATGTTTTTAAGAAAAATGTTTCTCCTCCAAATACCAGTTGTTTAATGAGTCATTGCTTTTTTGTTTTTTTTTGGAGATGGAGTCTCACTCTGTTGCCCAGGTTGGAGTGCAGTGGCATGATCTCGGCTCACTGCAACCTCCGCCTCCCGGGTGCACGCCATTCTCCTGCTTCAGCCTCCCAAGTAGCTGGGACTACAGGCACCCACCACCTCGCCCAGCTAATTTTTTGTATTTTTAGTAGAGACAGGGTTTCAACATGTTAGCCAAGATGGTCTTGATCTCCTGACCTCATGATCCGCCCGCCTCAGCCTCCCAAAGTGCTGGGACTGCAGGCGTGAGCCACCGCACCTGGCCAAGTCATTGCATTTTTATATCATACCAGGATGTCAGTGGTCCATGTCTGGCACCAAAATTGAATTTGGTCCTTGGTAACCTGTTTACCTAATTAGCATCCCTGAATTACTTTAAAACACAAGTCTTACCTCCTATGTTTTATCCTTGATTCCTTCCGTGTCCTGCAGTTCTCTGAGATTTAAAGGAATGTATAGCCATCCCCTAATTTGGGTCTCCTTTTCCCCCCCATAGAAGATGTTAATTAAATTCACTTTTGCCAAATGAATGATGTTAACTATGTTTGCAACTTAACGGTTAACATCATTCATTTGGCAAAAGTGAATTTAATTAACATCTTCTATTTGCCAGGGGGGAGATGCATAGATAAAACAGGGCTCCCTTGCTTAAGAGAACTTGAGACAGATACATAATCGATTACAAAACACTGAGTTAAAAGCCATACTTGAGAGTATGAACAGTAGGAGCTACTCAGACAATAGGGGAATGTAGAAGAAAGATGGCGTTTTACATTGTTCTTGAAGGACAAGTAATTCTTGAAGGACAGTTTGCTGTAATTCTAGGCTAAGGAACCAGCATTGCAAAGGCATAGTATAATTTAGGTTCTGCATTTACAGTCAAGAGTCACAGAAAGTTTTAGAATAGAGAAAGAGGCCAAGCATGGTGGCTCACACTTGTAATCTCAGCATTACAGGAGGCTGAAGCAGGAGGTTTGTGGCCAGGAGTTTGAGACAGCCTGGGCAACGTAGCAAGACACTGTCTGCACAAAAAATGAAAAAACTAGCCAAAGTACACCTGTGGCCCCAACTACTCAGGAAGCTGAAGCAGGAGAATCACTTGAGCCCAGGAGTTCGAGGCTACAGTGAGCTATGACTGCACTACTGCATTTCAGCCTGAGTGACAGAGGGGTCCCTGTCTAAAAAAAGACAGCAATAACATATTTTGGCCTTAAATAAAAAGTAAGCTATAAAGGCATGGTATGTAGAGTCAATAAAAGAGAAGTGCCTCAGGTGAGAAAATCTGTAAGTTTTATATAAATTTTTTTTTTGAGACAGGGTCTCATCCTATTACCCATGCTGGCGTGCAATGGCACAATCATGGCTCACTGCAGCCTTGACCTCTGAGCTTAGGTGATCCTCCCACCTCGGCTTCCCAAGTAGCTGGAATTACAGGCACGTCCCACTATGCCTGGCTAATTTTCGTATTTTTTGTAGAGATGGAATTTCGCCATGTTGCCCAGGCTGGTCTTGAACTCCTAGGGCTCAAGCGATCCACCTGCGTCAGCCTCCCAAAGTGTCAGGTGAGAAATTTAGAGAGAATGCCCAGGCTTATAGCTTGGTCTTCTAGGTAAAAGATAATGTCTTTTATTGTAATAGCTAATCTAGAGCTACACTGTTCAGTAGCCATTAGGCATATATAACTATTTAAAGTTCAATTTAAAAATTCAGCTCCTCAGCCACATGAACCACATTTCAAGTACTTAGTAGCCACACATGGCCAGTGGCTACGTTTTTGTACAGTACAGAACAGCAAGCATTTCCATCATCTCAGAAAGTTCTACTGGACAGTGCTGGTCTAGAGCAGGAGATAATTGGGAGCATGAATACAGCTATCACAGGGTATGCTTGTCAGGGGATTAGTTGAAGGGTAGTCATTAACAGTGTAGATAAGATCTTGCAGAGAAACTTTGAGACAGGGTCTCGCTCTGTTGCCCAGGCTGGAGTGCAGTGGTGTGATCTTGGCTCACTGCAACCTCTGCCTCCCAGGCTCAAGTGATTCTCCTGCCTCAGCCTCCCAAGTAGCTGGGACTACAGGCGTGTGCCACCACCCCTGGCTGACTGCTTTTTTAATTGTTTGGAGAGATGGAGTTTCGCCATGTTGCTCAGGCTGGTCTCAAACTCCTAGGCTCAAGTGATCCTCCTGCCTTGGCCTCCCAAAGCGCTGGGATTATAGGCATGAGCCACTGTGCACAGCAGCATTGTTTTTATATATAAAAAGTGGCCTAACGGAAACCCTTTAAAAATATTTTAGGTGTAAGTAGTAGAAAAAGAGATGTAAAGAAATAGAGAAACTAGGACAATGAAAGAGCTTGGTAGCATTTAAGTTTCAGGAAGGGGTCAGTGAGGATGAAAAGGAAAAAAAGACCTTGGTGATGTGAGCAAGAGCAATTTTAGTGGAAGGTGAAAAGCTCAATTGTAGTTTGTTGATAAATAAATAGAAATTTAAAAAAAAATGGAGATGAAGTCGAATATTCTAGAAAGTTTAAGAAGTTATACCTTGAGATAACTTAAAAAAAAAAAAAGAGAGAGACTGGTTTTGAGCTTGTTTTCTAGGAGAGGGAACCTGTGGACAACAGAAGCTTTTGTTTGCTGGTTGGGTTTGAAGTTTTGGTTAAAGGAAAAAATGCACATTGGAAATAAATGAGAATGGTATTTTTAAAAAGAGAGAAGGGAAAGGAGGAAAGTTGAAGAGATTCATATCTGATAACCTTACCTAATTAGTCTATTAGAGTAGTAGTGGGGATAGGGTAGAAAAGATGGAGCTAGAAAGGCTTGAGAGTGGTAACATTTGGAAATAGTGCCTTAAGGAAAGAGAACTGACAAGTCATGGCATTCCAGACCCTAGTAAGGTTGGAATCCATACATTATAGTGGTTCCAATTTAGTCTTATGTAATTTTCATAGCAGTACTGCAGAGTTAAATTGGTAGGAGTTGACCATATGCAGAACAGAAGGATTCAAAGGTATGAGTCGCAGCCTCCCTACTAGCCTGCATGCTCTTGGAAGGTCTCAACTTTTGCAGTTCTCCTGGCAAAAGCATTTAAATGCTTGTTTCATGACTAATTACTGTTTAATATCTATCATCATCTTGCATAGTTCAAATAGAATTTTTAGCTTTTATCTTTCTAGCTTATTTTTTTCTTTTACATTTACAATAATTGGAATTTTGTCCATTTGGGGGCAGTTGTTTTAAAAAAAAAACAAAAAACTAAGGAACTTAATTTGACTGTCTTTTGTTTAGCATCTACTTTATAATGCTATTTTATCATTATAATAGGTTTTCCGAAATTCTCTGTATGCACCAGATTATTCATCTCGTTTAGATATTGTACGAGCAAATTCAAAGTCACCTCTTCAGAGATCACTGTCAGCTAAGTGTGTATCTGGAACAGGACAGGTGAGCAAGAAACCATACTCTTAAAGGAATTTGAGCTGCTGCCTTTGGAATTGTTGAGTTCTAAAAATGTTTCCCCTCAGTCATACCACCTCAGGTAATTTACCTTCCCCTGGACCTATTTCCTCTTCTATAATGACAGAAGATTGCACTAAGTTGCAGCTCTGTTATTTCTTAAGTATCTTTTATACTGTAATTACATATTACTCTCTAAAACGTAACACTTCAGAGCAGAAGTGGAAAAGACAGAAGAATGCTCATGCAGATGTGTTATCTTCTATAATATGAAGAGCATAGATTCTGAAGTCAAACTTAGGTTTAAATCTCACTATCAAGACTTAGTGGATCTGATTAAATTATAAAGTTAAATACCAAATTATACCAAAAAATGGCTTTTACTGAACACAAAAATCATTTTTGTCTACATCCAGAAAGCCTGAGTTTCCCAGTATCTAGAGCAGGGGCTGACAAACTTTTTCTGTAAGATGTGGAGACTAAGTATCTTAGGCTTTGTGGGCCATATGGTTTCTACCCCAACAACTATAAATAACAACTATAAGTAACACATAAAGCAGTATGACTGTGTTCTAATAAAATTCTATTTACAAAAGCAGGAGGCTGGCTGGGCCACAACTTGCCAAACCCTCATCTAGAGAGCTATGCCCTTTTCATATCTAGCTTTCAGAATATGCAACTCAACAAACTATTTTCAAAATACAACTTTTAGGTAAATTTCATACCTTCTATTTTCATTTGATTCTCCTCTAAGCATTTATTTTGTTTTATATGTATCTCTCCCCCAACCCAATTATATTTTTATTATTCCAGCATTAAGTGCTTTGAACATAAATTCTATAAATTTACTTTTATAGTCCATATAAAGTTTTGCCGGGCACAGTGGCTCACGCCTGCAATCCCAGCACTTTGGGAGGCCGAGGTGGCTGGATCACGAGGTCAGGAGATCGAGACAATCCTGGCTAACACAGTGAAACCCCATCTCTATTAAAAATGCAAAAAAAAAAAAATTAGCTGGGCATGATGACAGGCACCTGTAGTCCCAGCTACTCGGGAGGCTGAGGCGAGAGAAGGGCGTGAACCTGGGAGGCGGAGGTTGCAGTGAGCCGAGATTGGGCCACTGCACTCCAGCCTAAGCAACAGAGCGAGACTCCGTCTCAAAAAAAAAAAAAAAGGTTTTGACTACAACTAATAATGTTACCTTAGCTAACACTTGTATAGCACTTTAGAATGCATTATCCCAGGTTTCTCAACCTCAACACTGCTGACTTTGGGACAAATAATTGGGCCCACCAGGAAGGAAGAAGGGGATGGAATACTGTCCTGTATATTGTGACAATATTAGGCAGATATTAGCATCCCAGCCTCTACCCACAACATGCCAGCAGCACACATAAACACACAGCCCCAATAGTGACAAACAACAGTGTCTCTAGACATTCCCAAATGTCCTCTGGGTTAGATACAATCACTCTCAGAGAAGTTTTAAGCAACATGCCCTATGTGGCAGCAGTCAGGCAACTTAAAACTGGTGAGTTCAGATTCTCAACTCATTCCATTTAAATCACACTACTTTTACATCAGTATTTCTGTCCCACTGCCTAGCTGAAATATCCTTCTATTTTTGCCATCCATTTTATGATTCTCAAATGCTGTTTTTGTGACCCAAAATTTATTTTTAACATTCATAATATACTAAGTCTATACTTTTAAAGTAGTGTTTCTGAAGTATTGATGGCTATCCAACTAAAATCAAATGGCTAATTACACATTTTTATTCAAAAAATATCATGAATGAAAAAACTGGCCTCTGACCTTAAAATTCATAGGGAATTGTCACTACTAAAAATTATGACATGGACTTTTTTTTGAAATATTTGTTGTGTGCCCTTTAATAGCATAAAAAGATACCAAGCATGTAAAATTTTTTTAAGTTAGTATTTTTATTTTAAAAAGTGTGTTGACTTTTAACAGGTATCCACTTGTCGACTAAGAAAGGATCAACAAGCAGATGATGATGAGGATGAAGAGTTAGATGTTACAGAAGAAGAAAATTTTCTTAAGTAAACTACACATTTCCATTTTCATCATAAATGACATGGAATCCACAATGACTAAACTATAGAACTTTATACTCACTTTGATATGTTAAGCCTCAAAGTGAAGTCCAACTGGAAACAGAAAAATAATTAAAGGAAACTTATGCTGACCAAAAATGAAGGCTTTAAAAAATATTACATACCAGTCATTTCAACATCCTAACTAGTGTTAGGTGATTTTTGTGTAAGTACCTTTTTTTTTTCAAAGATGGTGTATTTCAAAGTATTTCATATTAATGTACTATATCTACTTGAAGTTCCAATAGTACATTATGACAGAAACCAAAAGATCTAACAATTCTGCTTAGCTTTTTGGTTAAGACTCCATGCTTTCATTACCAGAAAAGGGTCCTATGTAGTCATTCTGATTACATGTAATTCTATTCCATGAAGCCTTAAGAAAAAATATTTTTTTTTTACTTTCCCTTAAAACTTTATCATTTGATAAGTAAATTTACTTTTCAAGAGTATAATCAAAGAATAAAGATAATGTGACACTAAGATATCAATGTGTTATGAATACACATAAGGCATACATTTCAGCTGTAAAAAAAAGCCACATTCAATCTGACTCTGGTTTTAAAACAAAACTGTCATACTTATACATGATACTGCAACTTTTGGAAGGCTAATTTAGTGGAATGTTGCCTCATCACAGAACACCATAAATCATTAAAAATTCTATAAAAATTTTGCCAAGCTACCATGCAGTTAATAAAAGGGTATACAATCACTTTTATTTCTGAAAATATAAAACAATTGGAGCCTTTCAGTGTCTCTGATGCTTCTCTTTTGGTAAGGAATTATACTTTTATTTCATGGATCCCAGGCAGGCATATAAAAGGGAATTTATAAAATCATTTGGGATAATTAGAAAATGCAATTATTCATAACAGAAAAATAAAGATTTCTAGAAAGCTTTTGACTTTGTCATTCATGGCTCTTAACAAAGCACTCTTTCCTGAGAATAGTCCTAAGTGACAAAGTTATTTCAGTACTTTTTTTAAAACCCTAAATAGATATTAAGAAACTCAAGATTATCATTGGATATTTACTGCTTCCTCACTTAGTATTTAAATTTGGTTGTAGTTCGGGGGAAAACAGTTATTATATTTATTTTGCTGTTTACTAAATAGCAACTTCTCTTGAGCATGATTTGCTTTATTTGTAAAGTTAAAACTGCATAAACCAATAATTCTAGAATAAAACATACATTCTGCCTACCTCAGAGAAATATTCTAAGAACAAAAGGAATACTATCCATGAAAATACCTTCATTAATGTAAAATTTTCATTATTTAGACCAGACCTAGGTTGGCAAACTTCTTAAAGGGCCAGATAGTAAACATTTTTACTCTTGGTGGGTTGAGGCAAATTCAAGACTATTATACGGGTACTTATGTAACCATTTAAGACTTAAGTACACTTAAAAATGTAAAAAACCATTCCTAGCTTCCCACTGCAACAACAACAAAAAACAGGCAACCAATCCAACCAACCCAGCCTGTAAGTCTCCATCTCTTATCTCCAAAATAGGAATACAAATTGAGTATCCTTTATCTGAAGTGCTTGGGACCAGAAGTATTTAAGACTTTGGATTTCTTCAGATTTTGGAGTATTTGCATTATACCAGCTCAACATTCCTAACCCAAAAATCTGAAATCTTAAATGCTGCAATGAGCATTTTCTTTGAACATCATGTTGGCACTCAAAAAGCTTGCAATTTTTGGAGCATTTGAAATTTCAAATTTCCAGATCAGGAATACTCGACCTGTAGTACATTTACTAGGATTATCAGAATTAAATGATAGTTAATTCATACATAATTATACATCATATAGTTTCTAATACACCTCAATAAACAACAGCTATTATTTACTGCAAAAACAGAGGCAGCAAGGTCACTACTTAACAGGTGACATATGGATCAAGAACCACTGCTCTTAACAGTGATATCAGTAAATTAATAGAAATGCATTCCTAATATGATTTTTACCTATCTCTTGGTTGTTGGATTGACTTTCTAGACATGATCTACATTTTTTTAGATACTTTCTAGACAAAAATGTTTAAGACAAATGCCACTGGATATCAGACTAGAGAATACACCTCCAGTGTACCTGGTATATCTTGAGGATAGGAGAGGAAAAACTGGCTATGAGATGACAATTACTGAAGCTGAGTGATGTGTACATGAAAATTTACTGTTCTTTTTTTATATTTGAAATTGATGAGGTGCTGGGAAGCTGGCTCTCTGAGGGGACAACGGAAGGGGAATTCCTTGATTTGCTGCATTTATCAATTTCCATGGTGTAAAATACTCCTGTCATGGCCAATTTGTTATTGACATATCACTAAAGGCAGAGTTGGAGACAGATGTGCAAAGATGGCTCCCAACTAGAAGACACCACTTCTGTAATAAACGTTTTATAATGAAGTTTAAAAATATTAAGCCCGGATATATTATGGAGTAAAATGAAATATTCACATAATTTAAAAATCAAAATACAAGGCTGGGCACAGTGGCTCACACCTGTAATCCCAACACATTCTGGGAGACCAAGGAGGGAGGATTACTTGAGGCCAGGAGGCCAGAAATTTGAGAACAGCCTGGGCAACACAGTGAGACCGTCTCTACAAATAAAAAAAAAAGTTAGCCAGACAAGATGGCACACACCTGTAGTCCCAGCTCTCAGGAGGCTGAGGCAGGAAGACAGCTTGAGCCCAGGAGTTGGAAGCTGCAGTGAACCATTATCAGACCACTGCACTCCAGCCTGGCCAACAGAACAAGACTCTGGCTCTTAAAATAATAAAACTACAAAGCTTATGTTTACTATAGCTGGCCTCTTAACTACCACCACCATCCCACCTCAGCCTAGTTTGAAAAGCAGTTCCACAGTAAGTAATTCCTCACGTTAAGCTTCATCTTAGCTTTATTCCTTTGTATTTGAGAAGTACTTTTTAACTTTCCATATATTCAAGATGGGTGACCAAATGAACCATCTATACAATCTCTGCTCAATTAAAAATATTTCTTTCTACTTTCTTTATTGTGCTTGGTTTGGATATTCCAAACAATTTAATGTTATCTTAGCTACTTACAAGCTTAAAGAATCATACTGCGGTGCTTTTTTGTATCAAATTTACCTGTTTATTCATTCCATAGTGAGCAGGATATTCACTAAAACAAATTTAAGCAGATTTGTTAGATTTAAATCACTGAAAAGTAACACAAAAATACATATAGGTAGTAACTAAGTACTGACAAAGTATTCTACCTATGCAATATCCTATTAAATGTCTAAATTACCCTATGCAAATTCAATTGTATTCTTATTTACTCAATGGGGAAAATCTGGATTACAGAACTGAGGAAAATTATGTTTCATGAAAATTATAAAAGGCCAACCAGAGTCAATCATGTTGAATAAAATGAGCAATTGTGAAATATAAGCCAGTAATATACAATGTGCGTATCCCAAGAGAAACCCTGGATAGAAACTTAAAGTCACTCGGGTTTTATTAATAATGTCAATGTTTGAGCTCAATGTTTGAGCATGCTGGTTTTACCTTTTTATGCTAATTTTAAACCAACAACTGAAGTGAGAAAATATATCACTTATCCTTGAAAGTATCTTTAGCATGGTCTTCCTAATTAAAAATACCACTTAAAAAAGTGAGGCAGTAAAAGCATGAACTGGAGTCAGTGGTCTGTCTGGGTTAAAACTGGCCCCATGATTTATTACCTGTGACTTCAAGCAAGTTGCTTAACCTCCCACTTCATTATCTCATTTGTGAAATAGAGGTAAATAATTAACCCTGTACTCATAGGGAATACTGAGATTATGCATGTAAAGTGCTTACAGTGCCTAGCACATAGTAAGTGCCTAATAAATGTTAGCTATAAATAATATGGGTACAGAAAATCAAATTCCCTATTTGCAAAATGTATGCACTAAATGCTGAATATCAAAGAAGTCAAAATTCAACCACACAAGTCTTAACAGTTATGGAGTCTTTGCATGGACACAAAGTTTTGAAGCTAAAAAATGAGAACCTAATATTACATGCAAGTTATGTGACTCATCAGTAAATTCTTCCTAGGAAAACTATACCATTTGTCAGATTCTTCCCAGCATAAGCCTGAGTCCTCTTGCACCTATAATTAGATTCTTATTTTACTGTCTTTTGCGTATGTTGTATTAATCGTATTTGGTTGATAAGATGTTGAAGAAACCATGGAATTATACACAGCACTATACATTATTACTATAGAATGTCTGGTCCCTCCCATCATAAATATGGTTTAATGAAGTTACTGAAAAACTTCACAGTATCAAGCTGCAATTCTTTTTTCTTTTTATACAAATACAAGTTAATTAGTTGTTCTATTAAGTTGCAATTTTATTGTTATAAAACTTTGTAAAGTTATGAACATGGAAACCCTAAGAATCACCTAAGCTTTTTACATAAGTAAATTTCAAGTTGACAGTCTGTCCATTTTGAACTATTTATAATTAACAGGACACTTAACACAGTAATATCTCAGACAAGGAAGAGGGCATTAATTCTGCAGGCAAGTAGCAATGAAAATGCCAAACCTGAACAGTCACTATTTCCTTATACAGTTTGAGTAAACGATGTAGACTACAGAATGGGGAAAAAAAAGTGAATATAAAATGTATCTTCCCCAAATACAACTCTACTTCAATAAGTCTTGAAGCTTACCCATGACATCAACAAAAATGAATGAACTCAGGGAATTAGTTCTTTCTCCCCATCAAAGGAAAAAACAGCATATGTAATTTTAAATTAGAAAAAAAAATTAATGGCAATTTGCAAGCAAAAGAAAACCAGATTCACATTCTACTATTTACATTTGTTCTATTCACAGGTCAAAAATAAAATATTTCATTAGATAATTTATAAAAAAAAACCACACTTTTTAAAACAAATGTATTTTACTCCATCAATACTGCAAGGAAGATAACTGAATTTAGAAATGCTCTCTCTCTACAGCAAAGTTAACTTAACTTTTCGGGGCCCAACTGGCCTATCGTTTAGATCTTTAATAGCAGCCATAGCTTCGTTATAGTTTATCATAGCAACAATGGCTTCCCCTGTAGGTAAGCCTTGCTCATTATACTGTATTGAAACTGAATCAGGTATGATTCTGTAACCATGGAAAAAGTCTAAAATTTCATTAACATTAGCTTTAAATGGAAGATTCATTATCTTAATAGGAGTTACTCTACCTGAACCACAGTTTATCTTTGGATCAGGCACAAATCTCCCCTCAGGAAAACTTCCCATATTATGCTTTCCAAAATCAAACTTGCCACCTTCTGGACGACCAAAATTCACAAAAGGGCGGTGACTTCTAAAATCATCAGGCGGGCTCCTAAAATCCTCACCAGGAGGTCTGAAATTGTCAGGAAGTCTAGGGTCCTCCTCCGGAGCTTCCCTAAGGTCTTCCTCTGGGAGCTGCCTGAAGTCTTCATCAGAAGGGCATCTAAAATCTTCCTCCTGGGGGCTCCTGAAGTCCTCATCAGGAGGGTGCCTAAAGTCTTCATCAGGAGGGCCCCTGAAGTCTTCATCTGGTGGGTGCCTGAAATCTTCCTCTCGGGAGCGCCTGAAATGCTCCTGAGGCGGCCGCCTGAAATGCTCCTGGGGCGGTCTCCGGAAGTGCTCTGGGGGTGGGCGCCTGAAATGTTCTGGGGGTGGGCGCCTGAAATGCTCTGGGGGTGGCCGCCGGAAGTGCTCTGGGGGAGGCCGCCTAAAATGCTCTGGAGGTGGTCTCCGGAAATGCTCTGCGGGTGGCCGACGGAAATGCTCCTGAGGTGGCCTCCGGAAATGCTCCTGGGGTGACTGCCTGAAGTCCTCCTCAGGGGAATGCCTGAAATCCTCCTCTGGGGGCCGCCTGAAGTCATCCTCGGGTGGTCGCCTCCATTCTCCCTGAAGAGGCCGCCTAAAGTCCTCCTCTGGGGGCCGTCTCCAGTCCTCCTCAGGTGGCTGCCTGAAATCTTCCTCTGGGAGCCACCTGAAGTCCTCCTCAGGGGGTTGCCTGAAGTCCTCCTCGGGAAGCTGCCTGAAGTCCTCCGTGGGAGACCGCCTGAAATCCTCCTCCGGCGGCCGCCTCCAATCCTCCTCAAGGGGCCTCCTCCAGTCCTCCTCCCTAGGGTGCCTGAAGTCATCCTCCGGAGGGCGCCTGAAATCTTCCTCCCAAGGACGCCTGAAGTCCTCCTCAGAAGGCCGCCTGAAGTCTTCCTCCCGAGGTCGCCTGAAGTCCTCTGGGGAGTGCCTGAAGTCCTCTGGGGGGAACCTAAAGTCCTCTGAGGAGTGTCGGAAGTCTTCTGGAGGGTGCCTGTCAGGCTGCCGGAAATCCCTCTGGGGATGCTTGAAGTTATCCAGTTGCCTCAAGTCCTCTAGCTGATGTCTAAAGTTTTCAAAGGCACCAACTGAGTATATTGGTGGGTCTTTTGAGTCAAATAAATGAGAATGGTCACCTCGCTCACGTGACTCTGAGCGAGCTTGCATTTTTTCACTGGACATCAAGGAAAAATTTACACCAAACTCCTGCATTTGTGCCTCAGATATAAGTCTTAATAATACCTCTGTCCCTAAGAATCTTCGTCGGTTTAAACGTTCAGCTTTCATGGCCTGTTCTTCTGATTTAAATTTCACTAATGCTTCTCCCAGACCAACACCTTTGTCATCATAAAGCAAGTAAATGTCATCCTCAGCAAGAAGAAAGTCTGCAAAGAACTTCTGCACTTCAACTTTTGTAACATCAAATGGAAAATTTCTTATATAGATGCACAGCTTCTGGCCAGAGTTACCTTCTTGAGAGTATTTTTGTGAAACATGTCCAGGCCTATCTCTCTCTAGTGACCCTGATCTCTTCTTTTCATAACGTGCAATGAACTTCAACATTTGTTTTCTAGAAATTGGATCAATATGAACTGGACGATACTGTAAAACAGTTTTATGTAAACTCAGAGCAGTATTATAGTCTTTCAGAGTCTTGAACATCACAAAGGCATATCTTGTTCTGTTTTCATCTTTATATAAAAACCTAATCTGTTCATCAGTCAGATCAGTACCTCTAAAGAAATTTCTTAAATCTCTTTCATCAATACTGAGGGACAGATTTTTTAGGTGTACATAAAATCCAAGAGGGGAACGAGAACGTGTTCTTCTGGGAGATTTTGAATGAGACCGTTTTCGAAAATGTCTATCATTAATTCCTCTTGGTGGAGAATGTTCTTCAGATCTCCTAAGAACGTCACCCTCCTTAACTGCATTACCACCAAACTCAATCCACTGTTGTTCTGATCCTTGCATTACTTCTATAAATCTTGAACCCATAAAACTTCTATGACATTTAAGACCTCCTGAAGCATCAACACATGAAGCAAATTTTACTATGGCATCACCATTATTTCGGCCATCATGATGTTTTAAGAAAATTACTCCATCCACGCACAAACCAGAGAAAAAGACACGTACATCATCTTCATTTACTAGGTAAGGCAAACCTCGTAGAAACAAGAAAGGATTCTCGGCCTTCAATGGCCTTGTCTTTCTTGGCCTTAAATTACCATGTCCTGTACCATTAGTATGAAACCCAGCATCTTGATTAATTGAAGAGCCATATCCAGAATTACTTGCTTCTTCCTTAACAGACTCAATAAAATTAGATAGGCTGCCAACCCCTGAAGTCCCAGATCCTGGACGCCCTCTTCCTACACGATCAGTTCTTTTCATTTCTATAGTCTTCTGCATTTCTGCCTTGCTACTAAGAAAGAGCTCTACAGATGAATCCTTGATAAACCCTCCTGAACGACTTATGGCACGTCTTGCATCTTCATCTGTTGCAAAAATAATAAAAGCCTCCCCAATTTCCCCTCCAATTATATGCACTCCTCCATCAGGAATAGTCAATCCCGTGAAGAAGTGACGAATATCCACAGGCCCCGCAATAAAAGGAAGCCCCAGTAAACGGATGACTACAGCCATGCTGAGTTCAAACCACAGCAATAATGACCTGCAGACAAAAAGGTACACATAATAGCAAGTCTTATTTTTGAAGTACCTTAGCCCAAACTAAGCTTAGTAATTACCTGGCTCCTGCTTCCTTCAACATTTATAAATGAAAACAAGATACAAGTTCACAAAAATACTGATATCTAATTATTAAAGAAAACTTTCTCCCATCTAAAAATACAAATAAACCAACTACCTTGAAGAAACATTTCGTATCACCTATTCTATACAATAGGAACATCAAAAATATCAAATCTTCCTTTGTAAGTCTGCCAAATGCTGCTTCACAAGAAGACCAAACTACTTTCAGACTCATTTAGAATCTTATCTTCTACTGAAACATGACAGCTTTGTAGATTATTTTATCAACTGCAATGAATTTTACATATTTAGAAAAGTCATCTATGGTTAGTATGTAATTTCTGCTCATGATAATAAATTGCCTACCACTGGCCAGACACAGAGAACAACAGCCAGGGCCAGCATGATGGCTCACGCCTATAATTCCAGGCTTTGGAAGGCCAAGGCAAGAGGATCGCTTGAGGCCAGGAGTTCAAGACCAGCCTCGGCAACAGAGCGAGAGCCTGTCTCTAAAAAGAAAAAATTAGCCAGGCAGGGTGGCATGCACCTGTAGTCCCAGCTACTCAGGAGGCTGAGGCAGGAAGACTGCCTGAGCCCAATTTTAAATTTTCAGGATACAATGGGTTGCAACTGTGCCACTGCACTCCAGCCTGGGTGACAGAGTGAGGCCCTGTCTTTAAAAAAAAAAAAAAGGGAACAGAAGCCATGGGTACCTAGATGTACTATTCTACTTCACATGTTTTTTGTCAAGCCTCTGTAAAAAGCCTTAAACTCTGGATATCTTACCTTTTTTACAATTTCTTGGAGACCTGTTAATTCTGTAAAAGCAACTTAACTGTGGAAAGAAAATGAAATATAATTAATCCTCGAACCCTGTAATTTATCTTAAACAACGCCAGATTAGGATATCCATTTCAGAATTACCTATCAAAAGTGAAGCAGTATAAGGAACCACAATTACAGGTGTTACAAAATGGTATTTTGTTCCAAGGGGAAATTAATCATCCTTCTGCAAAAAGGAGATACAATATTCAAATAGACATAAAAATTATTTAAAAATTTAAAACTTGCTGAAAATTGAACAACTGCTCCTTGATTGGAAGTAGCATGAAAAAAAGGAGTGATGGAAATGTTATATATTTTGAATGCAGTAGTAGTTACATGGGTGTATAAATTTATCAAGGTTTACTGAATTCTATCCTTATGGTCTATACATTTTGCTGTACACAAGTTTTACATCTACTTCAAAAAACTGTTCTACAAGTAAAATCTCAATACCAAAAGTTAAAAAAAAAAAGACCTTCAATCATTTTGCCACATGAAAATTCAAATACCTAGTACATATTTATATCCAACTCTCGTGCTGTTCTCCTTCCTTTCAAAACATAAGACCAAATCAAATTAAGGCAACCATTCAAAATTATACAATAAATGAATAAAACAGCAAAGCCTGAAATTCAAAAATCAATTTTTATAACAATAAATCCAAACCTATGGGCTACTGTTTGGATACAATTTAAAGGTCTACATAAACAGCTCACACGTCTGAGCACAGAACCAAATTTCATAATACCAGTATAATTAAGGCAAATACTACAATATCCCTAAAGTTAAAAATCTCAATAGCACTCCTTATACTGCAAAAATAGTTAACTGGTAAAATTCTTCTCAGCCAAACAGAAAATGCTATTTATCTTATTAGTAATGCCAATAGCAGATTTCCATTTCAAACAACTATTCTTCACTCTACTAAGGAAACCCAAATGATGATGTAGAAAGTAAAAGTAAAAATTACCTGGAATACTGGGATTACCAGTTTACTGAAAATCTCAATGTATTTTTTTTTAAAGAAGTCTGTGTTTAATACTTTCAGGGATACCCAAACTATTTCACGAAGACTTGCCAAAATAATAATTATAATTTACACTCACTTTTTTTGGTGGAGGAGACAGGGTCTCTCTCGCTCTGCTACCCAGGCTGGAGTGCAGTGGTGCGATCTTGGCTCACTACAGCCTAGACTTACCCAGGCTCAGGCAATCCTCCCACCTCAGCCTCCCAAGTAGCTGGGACTACAGGTGTGCACCACCACACCCGGCTAATTTTTGTATTTTTTGTAGAGCCAGGGTTTCACCATGTTGCCCAGGCTGGTAGGGAACTCATGGGCTCAAGCAACTAGCTTGCCTCAGCCTCCCACAGTGCTAGGATTTACAGGTATGATCCACTGCGCCTGGCGTAATTTACATGTTTTTAATGTACAAATAAATGTTGCATTAATCAAGAATCCAGTACTTACACTTAAGTACCACTGTTCCCCAAAGTGGGGGTCTGAAGATACATTCACTGAGGTCTGTTTGTTTTCCTTTAAAAAGGGTCCATAGATTAACTAGAAGCTAAACTAGCAAAGACATCAAATTACTTCACACATTCTACATCTGAAAAATATTAATGAGGTTTGCTATTCAAGTATTTGCACAGTAACAACCCAAAAAAAGCCTATTTTCTTCAACAAACCAATATCCATACAAACACTTCAACAAAAACTATAAATGGCTTCTGGAATGCTTATCCATATTAAAGTCCCAAGACTCCCTCCTATGCAAATTGGCTTAGCTACTCTTTTACTGTTAAGATATTTTAGAAAGCACCGTAAGATATACATATTCTTGTCTCTCCTAAGCTTTTTAAAAAAATTTAAAGGGATTTACCCTGGGAACATAAATTCATCTACAAGAGAAATTAGAGACATTTCAAGGAATAATTATATCTCAAATTCAAAAAAATCTCTAGTAAGATCTTTTAACTAAGTAGTTTCATGAGCACAAATCTCATGAATTCCAATTCAAGCAGACTATTTAAAAAGCTTACTCTCATTTGCCACAGTTAAACACAACTAATGCTTAAACTTCTCTGCCCCTGAGACAGTAGGGTAATGTACCATTTATGCCTCCACAGTATCACACCTTGGAGACCAACTATAAAAGACCAGCTCTCAAAATGGGCACTTCTGTGGTTCCAACATGCTATTTCCTTAAGCAAATTCTCCAGAAATTCAGCTCTTAACACACTAAATTACAGAAAGCAAAACACGAAAATTACCCTAGTCTGCAATTAAAATTTTGCATTTTTCTAGTTATGAATGCAAAAAGTATTTTCGTGCATTTGTGTTCATTTGAAGACAATAATCTGTTAAAATTTCTATGAAAAGAAAGTGGGTCCCTAAAAGGTCACTTAAGTCAGTGAAATTAAAAGCGCATTTTAAATAACTTCTATTTTTATACGATTCATCCCACTTAATCATCATTATAGCTAAACAATATGTAATGTGTATCTTCTAATCAAGATTTAACGGGATACAGAGAGGGAAAGGGGAGGGAGGCAGAATTTGAATAAGTAATATCTCATTAGATCCATTTGATTTTTAACTAGCGAAGAAAAAGTCATTTTCCAGATATGGTGAGAGAGAGAATTTTTTTAACTCTTTGCGACTAATTCGTAAAGCCCAAAGTCATGATGTAGCATATTCGCACTCTAAACGTGAGTTTCCCCTTGAGAAAATAATCTACACCAACCCACAATTATTCTTTATGATGATCCACCTTTTATAATGTAGATGTTTAAAATAAAAACCAAAGGAATGACCAATGAGAGCCATAGTCCCTAAGAAGAACTGTAAATGAAGACGAATCCACACGGCACAGGATTTCTCCCAACATCCTCAAACGGGAATCATCCGAAGGCATCGATTCTACAGCCCAAAGCCTTTGTCCATAACTCCCAGGGGTCAGAGCTTCCTTCTTTCGCGCCAGGCCAAAGTTGCTACGTGGGATCCGATGTTGTTGCCAGACTTTCAGCCAAAATCAGCCTTCAAATTAACCTGGACCGCCCAACCTCTGTGCCTTTCCGTTACGCCGTCTCAAGGGCAAACATTCCACCCTACCTCGCCAGAGGGTGAACTGCCCCCAAATCTAACTGAAAACACTTGCCCTTCTCAAGCCTAACGAGCCGGGCCTGCAGCGCTTTTCTGCCACTACTAACTACGATGACATAGCAAAGAAAAAGAAATACCTATGAAATCCTTCGAGATCTTCACTCTCAAGATCCCTGGGAAGCGCACATACACCACCACATGGAAGCTGACGGGAAAGGGAGAGCCGGTGTTTTAGCAAGAAAAGAGGGTGCCCTAACGGCAGGAGCTACGCTAGATACTGGCGCGGCCGCCGGTCCCGCCTTTCCCGGTTCTTCCGGCTTGGTCGCCCAGCCCTCCCCACCCCCGGCGCCCCGAGGGGAACTGCTTCGCACTTGGCAATAAACACACACCACTGCTGCCGAGTCGGACACACAAGGCCGGAGGCTGAGGGCACTCCTCGTCGCAGCAGCCTCCCCAGAACACGTAGAGCCCTCAGTGAGCCTAGAAGAAGATGGCGCCCACTGCCCCTCCGGTCCGGACAAACGGACGTAATGTTTCTCTGCCCATGCGCTCTCCAGGCGTATCCCACCACCACGCTTGCGCACGCGCGCTGCCGCTCACCCGCTTCCCCTTGCTAGAGGAGGGGAGGCGGAGCCCCGAGTTGGCTGAGCTTCTGCGCATGCCCAGATTGTGCCCAGTCCAGGGACCTCGATTTGCAACAGGAGAAATTCGGAGACACAGTCAAGGCTCAGATGGTAGATGTACTGAGAATCTTCGGTAGACAACTGTGGAAATTCAAGATTTCCAGAAGTTAAGGAAAGAGATGCAAAAGCAGAGAAAAGGCGACTTGTCTTTTCAGTGTTGCATTACTGTGTGGCGTAAAGCATCTTCTAAAAAGCTCCTGTGGCCGGGCGCGGTGGCTCACGTCCGTAATCCCAGCACTTTGGGAGGCCGAAGCCAGCACTTTGGGAGGCCGAAGCGGGCGGATCACTTGCGGTCGGTAGTTCGAGACCAGCCTGGCCAACAGGGCGAAACCCCCGTCTCTACTAAAAATTAAAAAAAAAAAAAAAATTAGCCTGGCATGGTGGCGGGCGCCTGTAATCCCAGCTGCCCGGGAGGCTGAGGCAGGAGAATCCCTTGAACCCGAGAGATGGAGGCTGCAGTGAGCCGAGATCGCACCGCTGCACTCCAGCCTGGTCAAAAGAGTGAGACTCCATCTCAAAACATAAAAATAAAAAAGCTCCTGTAGACCGTAGAATACCACAGAAAAGGTAATTTTACTGCCTTAGATGTTCGCCAAGTACAATCCCAACACCTGGGGGCTTAATAAATGCATACTTAGTCGGTTTTATAGATATTAATAACCTTGTAAAGTGTCTTTATAAATGTGTTCCCATCTTCTGGATTTTTGAAACAAGAGAACAGATGAGCCAGTACTGAAATTTCAGTAATGAAAAATCACTATTACAGGTATACTCTGTGATGCCTGCTACATAATAGCTGGTGAACAACCTTGTGTTTGGTTTTATCAATTGCAAATAACAAAGTTGTCCACCACGTTATATAGCTACTTGGTGCGTTTGTGGATGGATTCAAAACTCGTTAAGCAGAAAGTACATTTTAAAAACATTGTTACAGATGACAGAAAAAGTGAGTTGTGGATCCCTTTCTCACTGCAAAATACCCATTCTTGAATGATAAGATTATAAGAAAGAAGAGGTAGTTTAATAAGAAAATAAAAAGATGGTTAACACAAATGAGAGCCATCTTTTACTCACTGGACAAATTATCCTCTCTGTGCCTCAGTTTCCTCATCTGTAAAATGGGGATACTACTAGTAGGGTTGTGGGAAACGTTCAGTAAATATGTATGTCTCAGATATATGTAAATAAGTGATACTATTATAAGTATTTGTGACTTGTTTGAAATGTCAAGGTGATCTATAGAGAAGCAGAGGATGTCACTCTGAAGAGCTAGGCTCATTGACTAGATATCATTTACTTTGGTAATCCATAGTTTGGTCCTGGCCTTGCAGTCTCAGGAACATGACCCTAAAAGTTAACATTTATTGGCCAGGCATGGTGACTCACGCCTGTAATCCCAGCATTTTGGGAGGCAGAGGTAGGCGAATCACCTGAGTTCAGGAGTTCGAGACCAGCCTGGCCAACATGGTGAAACCCTGTCTCTACTAACATTACAAAAATTAGCTGGGTATGGTGGCGGGCACCTGTAATCCCAGCTACTCAGGAGGCTGAGGAAGGAGAATCTCTTGAACCCAGGAGGAGGAGGTTGCAGTGAGCTGAGACCATGCCACTGCACTTCAGCCTGGGTGACAAGAGCAAAGCTCTGTCTCAAAAAGAAAAAAAAAAAGTTAACATTTATTGAGAGTTTATTATGTTGCAGGACATATGCATGATCTCAATTTATTCTTACAACTACTTTTGGAGGTAGGTACTATTATTATTCCTGTTTTACAGATAAGGGAAACTGAGGCATGGAGGATTACATAGCTTACACAAAAAGCCAGGCAAAATTGAACCCTACTTGTTTGCCTGCAGAAGCCATTATTCTGTATTGCACAGAAAGAGGACTCTGTCCTCAGAGGCAGACTCCTTCAAACAAGAATACAGAAGCAATACTCTAAGAAATAGAACATGAGTTACCTAATCTCAAAAGGTGATTCTCAGTTAAGACTCCCTGGAGACATCCTCACTCATCTTAACAAAAATAACAGCTGTCATTGATGACCACTTACTACAGGACTCACCTGAGCAAGTGTGCTCAGATCAGACTCTGTCCCCTGAGCAAGCTCTGACAGGCGTTGCCAGCCTCCCATGACCTCCTTCATTGTTCTGGGCTGACCACTCTCCTTCTATTCACACAGACTTTCTCCAGTGAGGACACTATATTGAATGTCTGTCCATTTTGGGTGTTTTTGAGACAGAGTCTCACTCTGTCACCCAGGCTGGAGAACAATGGTACAATCCTGGCACACTGGGTTCAAAGGATTCTTGTGCCTCAGCTTCATTAGTATCTGAGATTGGCATGTGCCACCATGCCTGGCTAAGTTTT